CACAGTTTATATTCACTTACTGTATTTAACATATTGAAACATATTTTGCACAGGTCATGTTTAATGCTTGATCTTTCCCCCCAAACGTGCAGGAGTGTGTTCTACTGTTTCATTTAAAAAGCCTCTATAATGTTCATATGATCCACACAGTCACTCTGACAGACTGTAATACTCTACAGGAAGTGTAGGGGGCGATATGGCTTCTACTGTTTCATTTAAAAAGCTCTATAATGTTCATATGATCCACACAGTCACTCTGACAGACTGTAATACACTACAGGAAGTGTAGGGGGCGATATGGCTTCTACTGTTTCATTTAAAAAGTGCTCTGTAATGTTCATATGATCCACAGTCACTCTGACAGACTGTAATACACTACAGGAAGTGTAGGGGGCGATATGGCTTCTACTGTTTCATTTAAAAAGCTCTATAATGTTCATATGTTATTGATTCGCTGCACCATAAAAGAAGGAATCACTTGTTGCACAGTCAATCGATTAATTGAATACAGGAAAAAATGTCTTTGTTGCTGCTTCACCCTTCACACTGGTCTAATTCCTCAGAAGCTGTGTTGCGGTTTCAGAGTATGAAAGTGATTTTAGTGATTTTAAAGTGTGATCGTGTCTCACCAGTCTGTTGGCCTCGTCTTCGGCGCGGGAGGCGATGGCTAAAATCTCGGAGTTCGGGTTGAAGCGCAGCGAGGTGGCGGCTGTCAGCAGATTCATCACAGCCTTCAGAGGCTTTGGAGACGATTCCTGCAGACACGTCTTCTGGGAGTAGATGTTCACCACACCGGACTGAGAGCTGACAAACAGAAACACACATTCAGCATCGTTACACACCGACTTACAGGAGGTGAACAACTAAAATGTACATTCTCTCTCCCCTTACACATAAACGCAGCGCCATCTCGACTGCAAATACTAAAAATACTTCAATGACTCTAAAGATACGACTCGATGATCATTGACCAAAGACAGATTCGAAAAAACCCCAACAACCCCAATGATTCAAATGGGGTCAAAACCCAGAAAAGTTCAGCTCCTCTGTCTAAACAGGACTGGGATGACGTTTCAGGGATGCTGGCGTAACCATGGCAACGTAAACAACCCTACAGCTTTTTAAAGCTTTTATTTTCTGGCAGTAACCAGACTTCGAATCTGTGTGAAACACTGAATTGCGGAGGTCTGACGACCTGCAGGTCAAAGTCTTTTGTATCTGTAATGCCGTCGTCATGCTGTTGGCTCTGTATTTTGCGCAGTGTGGTCAAAATGTTCTTCTTGAGGTGTATGACATCAAATTTTATGGCGTATTTTTGCTCGCTGCAGGGCTGGTGTGCTCATGCAAGTGTTTTTGAGGTGTTTCCGTGTTCTTGTGTGGATGCAGAGATTTTCAAAAAAAGATTTTTTTTTTTTGAAAATTAAGCAAAAAAAAAATGGTTTTTATCCAGATACACGTGGACGAGGCCTCTGAACGCAAAGAGGCAGGAGCGATTAACTCTGTTTGCTTTCATGTTCATTTTTCACACAAAACACAGCAGAGGAGAAACATATGGTTACAAAAAATGGAACAGACCATCAATATCCGTAAACTAGTAACAGGGAGTTCATCAGTTTATTCAGGTTGAAATTCTTTCTTTGGTGTGAGTTTTATCATAACCATCACACAGTACGCCACAAATAAGCTCAGATAACGATGTACAAACAGTGCAAACCACACTAACGTTATCTCGTTTAGCTGAGTGTCTGAGTCAGGGATGTTTCAGTCACGTTTCAGATGAAAATGAAAGCACATCAGACCCTTGATGACCTCTCGCCGGCCAGTCTTCTGGGGTTAGCATTAGCCTAGCATGGCCTAGCAATGCTAACGTTTCCTCTCGTAGCGCCTGAGGAGCCGCCTGACTCAGACGACTGTATAAGCTTCCATTACTTGTTTGCTAGTGATGCAGAAACTAAAGAAGCAAACAGACACCAAACAGGTCTTGGCTTGTCGACTACATTTGGGGTATGACTGTAAACTTTTACTTTTCCCTACATTACCCTTCTGAGACTTTGAAAAGGACCCTTAACTGCTCTGATGCCTCAATTGATGTTTATTGTGAGGACACTCCCTGTTTAGGCTTTGAGGAAATGATTCAAAGGCGTTTGTGTGATACTCACCCACAGGCCACATACAGACCGTCCCGCGACACGGCCAGAGACGTCCCCCTCACGCAGCCCTCATCCACAAACCTGTTCATACATTTACTGCTCTTCACATCCCAGATATACACCTCACCCTCATCTGAAACACCAGCACAACAGAAGAGCACTCAATTATAAACAAACACAGATTTACAGATTTACTCTTTATCTGTTCAAAGGAAAAATCAGTTGTCAGCATTTTCAGTTAGAATCTGTGTCAAAACATTTCCTACAGTACTGTTTTTGTGGATATGTTTGATCTCGAGTTATCATAATATCAATATTTGGATTGTAATACCAAAGTACAGAATCATACCAGGTATTACTATGGCAAAAAAATCATTATCTGAACTCTAATGCTGTGTTTACATGTTGGTGATGGAAAAAAACTGCATTCTGTGCCTCACATCGGTACATGACCAACAGCGGCATGCGGCCATACAATGGCTGTCATGGTGACAGAGTTACCGGTGTAAAAGGATGATTATCAGAGGACAGCTTTAGCGGTGAGGGCTGTTTATTTACGGTGGTGAAAGGCAGGAGGCGCTCTGCACTCTTATTTTGTGTTTCAACTTAAAGCCCTACTTCCAGTGGTTCTCCACAGAACTATAAATTCTTTAGGACACCAAAAATCAGCCTGTTACTCTGACTGCGCAAAGAACTTTTTTTTATATGTTTACTTATAAGAGTGCCGAGCCCACCACAAAATTAAATAATGATTCCTCCTAATTCTGTTTTCCACTGTTTTTATCGGGACGTACCGGAGTTGCTGAAGATCTTACTGCCGTCTCCAGTGAACCCTGTCGCACAAACATTGCCGTTAATCTTCATACTTCGGACCACCTCCCTCGTCTGAAACACAGAGCACAAATCCTCGTTACCAGACTGTTTATGATGAACTGTTTCACTCAGTGCTTAAAATACACGTCTTTAAAGTTGAAAAATGAAAAGCTGAATAAAACTCATGTCGCATTGATTCTGAAGTGAGATTCAGTGTCCCTGATAATCATTACATGAGCGATCAGGATCACAGCAAATAGTAGAGCTGTCAGGATTACTCTATTAAAAATTGATATTAATTAAATTAAATTGATAAAATATATTCTTGATGTGGCTTACAGATTAGTTTGCTATTTAATGATAAACAGGGTTTATAGGTCACTACAGATATTTACTGCCATGTTCAGCAGATTCTCCACAAGGGGGAGCTCTTTGTGCTTAAACTGCTATCGTCACTGAAAGGGAGGAAACCCATACCAGCAGGATCTCACTGATGCATGTATGTTTGTAGTTAGTAATGTAATTTATATGAAGCAAAAAAAAATGTAAAAGCTTTTCTGGTACAAATTGAGAGTTTATGAAGGAAAAGGTTTTGTGTAACCTGTATGGACTGAACTGATCAGCAGACAACTGACAGGCTAACAGGCTCCTCCGATAACATTCAGTCAGGCCTCACTGAGTTCACTGTAAAATTACAGCATACAAAATACACAATCTGCCAACTGAATGTCTTAAGATTGAAATTCCTATAGAAGCTCTAGCAGAAATTAGCTGGTGGTAGTTAGTGGCACTCAGGCTACTTCTAAAATGAAGATTTCTGCAGTAAACACTGCTTTAACTACACATACAGCTGTGACACGGTCATGAAAACACTGCTTGAAAGCAGCATTTTACCTGCAAAAACCCTGATAACGCACATTTTAAATCCTCCCACTGCTCTCGCTTAGGAGAAAACACAGTCCGATTGATATTCATTTTTGTATAATTTTTTTTTATCCGGGATTTGGCATAAGAAAAAATAATAAAAAGAAGAGATCTACATAATATGTTAGGATATGAACATTTTTGTTTGGTGTTTAAAAAATATCAAAAAAACTTAATAATTAATAATGCAATCAGCAGTGACAGCGCTGGTTTGAATTAGATCTACATTCTCATTTACACAGAAAAGAAAGTTCAGTTTATTACATAAGAAGAAGAGAAATGATCTTTCGGCTTTAAGGCTGGAGGTTCTAAACAGTGAGCTGAAGTATCTGTACCTTCATGGTCATGAGGTGCAGATATCCTGAGGAACCTGTGAGGAGCAGAAACTCCCCATCTGGAGAAACTTCAAACTCCTTCACCCGCTGCTCATCCAGTCCTACAGGAAACAGAGAACAGTGACTTAGAACAACTACTACTGCTGGAGCTGTTGTTGATGTAAACTAAATGGGTGGAGCTAAACTGCTGTAGGCTGAATGGGTGGGGCTAAACTGCTGTAGGCTGAATGGGTGGGGCTAAACTGCTGTAGGCTGAATGGGTGGGGCTAAACTGCTAAATAGTTGCTGTAGCTCCTGCTCACCTCGGACTCTGGGCACGGGGATAACTTTGCCCTCTATCATGTCGTAGATGTAGAAGAGCTTGTTTTTCATTCCAGTGGCCACCACCTGTTCACCATTAGCACTGAAGGAGGCCTTATTCACCGGAAACCTCTCCAGGTGGATGCTCTGGATCTTAGGGTTGGTCTTACCGTCCACCTGAAAACAAGCAATGATAGAATTTTTGCTTTAAATTTTCTTTAAAAAAAAAAACTTTAAATTTAATGTTTTATCTATATTTATCTTCAACATGCAGCTTCATGCTCATCAAAGTATCTTCTTAGTATGAAAAATGAAGACCAGGAGCCGTATTACAGAAACGTCTTAACTCTGAAATCTGATCTGTTTAGTTTACTCCAGATAAGAAAACAGCATCACACAAACATCCTAACGAGACTAAACCTCCTAAATCCTGTCCTAACTTTAGGATGAACCCCAACAGCGTCCTCACTTCTGTTTAAGGTCCGTTTCTATGGTTTTTAGGCAGCTGTGTCAGCAGCATAGTTCACTACCAGCATAATGAGCTCCATTTATCTCTACTGTAAAACACTGCTTTCACTGTGAGATGATTTTCTTTTCTAACTCTGCGTTTTAAAGATCTCAGACGCTGCAGACTCGATCTCCACCGCCCCTCTGATCACCTTCCTGTGTTAATGTTGATGATGAAATATTACAGTGATGGTGGTGAATAATGAGGAGACGGAGCTGAATGTGTGTCTGTTTATTAGGAGGAGTAACGTTAATGCGCTCGGCTAAAGCGTTTGGGAAATGGAGACTGAAACTGGGGAGCGGCGACGCTCTGATAAACAGCAGGGGGCAGTGATCATGCGAGTCAGTGGTTTGATGTGTCAGTTATGTGAATGTGTTGTCTCTCGCCACTTTATTGCACTGTGTGACATAGTGTTTGATGTAAATTAGCAAAAAAAATAAATAAATAAAATAAAGAGAGAGACATCAGTCACGTCACATATACACTGCTTAAAATTTCAGCACCCCCAGCTTTTCACACCTTTTCACATCCCTGCTGTTAAACCTACTACTCAGTAGAGGGCGCTACCTGGAAGAGCGAGATGGTGTGGTCCAGTCCAGCCGTCATGACCACCTGAGCGGAGGGGTGGAACTGCACCGTGGTCAGCCGATCCTCACTCGGGTTCTCACTATTAGCGTTCAGGCACTTCTTCAGCTGCAGAGCAGAGAGAGTTCCACTGTTAATCAGTCATTAAAGCAGGACAGTTCTCTTCTGACCTGGTTCTAGAGGGCTGGTGTCCAGTCAAATATTCAAATACATTCAGATTAGAATTTGAATTCTTAAAGCGCAATTCCAGCATTTTTCCCCAAAAATGTTACCCACGATTAGATGGAAAGATGGAAACAGAGTCATTCAGAGTGGTTTGGTGTGAAACGCTCTGTTCTAGATAAACTTACTGAGTCAGAACTGTTCACAGTGGTGGTGACAGTTATGCTCTGTTCCACCACTGTACTTTTGTCACTATGTTACTGCGCGAGATTATTTAATCCGTTGTCATCGTAGCCCTGGACAATGTGTTTATCATGGAGATGATATCACCACAATAAATTACATCATAATATGATTTCCAGAGCGTATTGTGAGTGGCAAAAATATAATACTTACGCGATACTTTCAGAAACGTATATGATACGCGATATGCCACGATATTTATTTTTTCAGACATCTGGTCAGTTGGAACAGAGAAAAAAGAACCTACGTTTTAAAAAATACCATCAAACACATTGATTTTTATTCAATATCTGGCACTAAATCCAGTTAAACTGGACTAATTTTGCTCTCTTTATAATGAAACATGCGTTAGTCAGTTTCTACAAGCACTGACGATAAACACATCATGAAAAACAGAAATTATGGTACAATACAACACAGTATCACGATAATACAGGGAGATTCACTCGCAAGAGGCCCCGAATATTCTGTATTAACTCTCTCTAGGACGTAGCAATCTGAACCAAACAACGTGCCATGTGCTCCTCAGTATATGGAGCTTTGAACAAACCGGATGCCCCTGCGTCGGAGAGATGAGGTAGGTGCCCGACAGCCGTCACAACGTTTAACCTCTCTAATGCTTGCCGACATGTTCAGGAACATTGAGCGCCGCGTCGAAATGTGTCTGGCAGAAAACGGAGATCACTTCCAGCATCACACGTAATGCAATCGATTACACACACATCAAGGTATGTAGTGTATTTTTTTGGTTCGGATTTCTTCATCCTAACGGGAGATATAACAGAATATTCGGGGCCTCTTTCGAGTGAATCTCCCTGTAATATATATTGTCATATTGCCCAGCCCTAATTCAACCTGACTGAAAATTCTAAAACTCAAACGTTCTTATTCCTAATTTATTGAACACAGAGGAATTCCTTCTCACTGGACAGGAATTAGGGTTCCACGCCTTTTGACTATCAGACGCTACAGCGCTAAAACAGCCATCGTCCTTCATTCATCACCAAAACGTAGAAGAGCAGTTCTGATGTTACTAATTCACTGCACAAATACAAAAACACAGAACACCATATCCACCTTAATAATTCCTTTAGGGAGGCTTTCGGAGGAGCCGACGTAGTTGCCGGTCTTCTTCAACAGTTCACCGTCCTCGTCATCTTCATCCTCTTCTTCATCGTCGTCGTCGTCTCCTTTGAAAGAAAACAGAAAATACAGAGTTTTCAAGCTGAACGGATCATCAGTGTGGATGATTATGGTGGACACTGATGAAAAAACAATCAAGAATTGATTATTAATCACCTTTTTTCTTACTTTTCTTCACACTCTTCTCAGCCCAGGAAGGAGTTCCACCCATCGCCCTCTGGAACCTGTCAGAACAGACCAGTTATGTTTTAACGTTCAGTGAACGACTGCACTGCACTGCACTACACTGTGCTGTTTGTTTTCCTTCTTTCCCCTCTTTCCTGTGTTCAGTGGTGAATCGTGAGTATTAGAGACTAATTAGGTCTCAAGTTTGCACCATAAATCTTCAAACTCGGTCAAAACTTCTATAATAATGCTACTTTCTGTTAGCACCCCTATGGGATTCTAGTAGTATGTTAGCGCTAAGCTAACGTTGATTTATTTTGCCGTTCTAGATTAAACAGACATCTGAAGCTTTTAAGTCATTCCATATGTTTTATCTGAATCTTGTAACAGGCTTTATCATATATCTGAGCTTGTATGTATCAGTTTTACAGTGACTCAGTAAAGAGTTCTGACACAGAGCTGCCGCCGCTGTTTCACATTCTTAACAACTGAGCAGAACTTAGACTACAGCTCTTACTCACAGTCAGTGATGTATCTAGAACCTCCAGAAGGACTAGAGTGATAGATAGAGCTGCCGCTGCTGTTTTCCATTCCTAACAACTAACCCAAACCTGCTTAGACCAGCAGGTTTTACTTACTGCTCCTTTAGCCGCTCCTGGAGTTTCTGTTTGGACATTTTGGATTCTGCGTCACTCTTCTTAAAGTCTTTTCGAAACCGATGTGTCATGTCGATCCTGAAACAGTGAGAAAGAGCTTTTAATCAGACAATCAAAGAACAAAAACATGAGTCAAACACAAGCAGACCAACAAAATTACAAAAGCTGTAACAAAATTACGTACAAGATTAGTCAACCTCTCTACAACACCCCCTACACTTCCTGTAGTGTATTACAGTCTGTCAGAGTGACTGTGTGGATCATATGAACATTATAGAGGCTATTTAAATGAAACAGTAGAAGCCATATCGCCCCCTACACTTCCTGTAGTGTATTACAGTCTGTCAGAGTGACTGTGTGGATCATATGAACATTATAGAGCTTTTTAAATGAAACAGTAGAAGCCATATCGCCCCCTACACTTCCTGTAGTGTATTACAGTCTGTCAGAGTGACTGTGTGGATCATATGAACATTATAGAGGCTTTTTAAATGAAACAGTAGAAGTCATATCGCCCCCTACACTTCCTGTAGTGTATTACAGTCTGTCAGAGTGACTGTGTGGATCATATGAACATTATAGAGGCTTTTTAAATGAAACAGTAGAAGCTGTATCGCCCCCTACACTTCCTGTAGAGTATTACAGTCTGTCAGAGTGACTGTGTGGATCATATGAACATTATAGAGCTTTTTAAATGAAACAGTAGAAGCCATATCGCCCCCTACACTTCCTGTACTTCAAAAACACAGGATGAAAAGTTTTGGCTGGATATAAAGGATGTAAACACTGACTTTGTGACAGACTGACGGGACGACACTGTAAACATGACTCACTCTTCCTCCTCAGCATCATCTTCATCCTCCCACGCTGCTTTTCTTTTGGCAGGAAGCTGAAGACGAGACTCGTTTTCCTCCTCTGAGTCACTCGAGGATTCCTCCGCTTGCTCCTCATCGCTCTCCTGCTCAGAGGAGGACAAAATAAATGTCACAAACCGAACAAACAAAATCTGAAAAATATAAAAATGATAAAAGTGGGTTTGACCGAACAATGTTAGGGCATGTCGGAGAAACGTATAAATTCAATATACATTAAAACTTCATGTTTATTTATTAGGTCTGTCAAACAAATAACAATTGTTTGTGTTGTTAATTGTAATTAATCTCCTCTGTCTTTTTGCTGTAATATACTACTGAAAGATGTAGCATTTTTATGGCTATATGAGTGGACAAAATAAGCATCATCAGAATGCATTTATTACTTTCAATAATATTTTCATTATGTGGATGCAGAGCATGAAGACGAACATCATGAAATCTCCACAGAGTGATAACCAACATCCAGTGAGAGCAACAGTGTCTGCACGTTCCAACCAATGAGTGTGTATACATACACTCAATGAATATATATCATATATACACTCAATGGGTGTATACACGCTATATGGACAAAAGTATTGGGACACGTACAGGAGCTTTTATGAATCCCATTCTAAATCCATCCCTTCTACTAGATTTTGGAGAGAGTCTGTGGGAATCTGTGTCCATTCATCCAGAAGAGCATTTGTGAGGTCAGACACTGATGCTGGACGAGAGGGTCTGGCTCACAATCACCATTCTAGTTCATCCCAAAGGTGTCTGATGGGGTTCAGGTCAGGGCTCTGTGAGGGTCAGTCAAGCTCTTCCACACCAAACTCACCCAGTCAGGCCTTTATGGAGCTGCTTTGTGCTCTGGGGCTCAGTCATGCTGGAACAGGAAAGGTTCTTCCCCAAACTGTTCCCACAAAGCTGGAAGTGTACAATTGTCCAGAATGTCTTGGTGCTGAAGCATTAAGATTTCCCTTCACTGGAACTGAGGGTTCTAGACCAACCCCTGAAAAACAGCCCCATATCATCATCCCTCCTCCACCAAACTCTACAGCTGGCACAGTGCAGTCAGGCAGGTAACGTTCTCCTGGCATTCGCCAAACCCAGACTCGTCCATCAGACTGACAGGTAGAGAAGTGTGATTGGTCACTCCACAGAATACGTTTCCACTGCTCCAGAGTCCAGTGGCGGCGCTTTACTCCACTCCAGCCGACACTTGGCAATGTGTATAGAGACCTTAGGCTTGTGTGCAGCTGATCAGCCATGGAAACCCATTTTCTGAAGCTCCTAATGTGCAGTTCTTTTGCTGATGTTGCTTCGAGAGTCAGTTTGGAACTCTTCAGTGATTCAACAGAAGACAGACATTGTGCGCTTCAGCATTCCCCCTGCTCTGTGAGTTTGGTGGTCTACTGCTTCGTGGCTGAGCTGTTGTTGCTCCAAGACGCTTCCATTTCACAATAACAGCATTTACAGTTGTCGGGGCAGATCTAGCAGGGCAGAAACTTCACAAACTGACTTGTGCAGAGGCGGCATCCTATGACAGAGCCATATTAAAGTCACTGAGCTCATCAGTGCGACCCTCTGCCAGTGTTTGTCTATGGAGACTGCACAGCTATGTGCTTGATTTTATACACCTGTTAGCAACGGTGTGGCTCAAACACCTGAACTCAGTGACTAGAAGTGGTGTCCCAATGCTTTCGTCTATATAGTTAGTGTATCACACATATTGTCTATGAGAATATATATCATATATATAGTCAATGTCATATTTGCAGCTAATGAGTGTGTATATTATATATACCATACATACAATCAGTGAGTGTATATACAGTGCACAGGTTTTCAGACTTTCAAGTTTTCTGCATTAAGTTTCAGATTCATCTTAAAATGGAATTTTAAGTTTCCACTTTCAATTCATTTTTTTTATCATCCTCCTACACCAATACTCCATAATGACAAAGCAAAGACAGGTTTTTGGAGTGTTCTGTCATTTTTTAAATAAAATAATAAATATCCCATTTACATAAGCATTCAGACCTATTATTATGATGCACAACTGAGCTCTGGGGCATCCTGCTTCTATAAAGCGTCCTTGAGATGCTTGTATAACATGACTGGAGTCCACCTGGGCCTGGTTGAATTCTCTGGACATAATTAGGACGGGCGCACACCTGTCTGTATAAGATCCCACAGTTGAAGGTGTATGTGTGAGTGAAAAGCGAGCCATGAAGTCTAGAGAACAGTCCACAGACCTGCCAGACAGGACCGTGTCAAAGCGTCATCATTCTCAAATGGAAGAAGTTTAGAACCACTAACAGTCCTCCTAGAACTGGTCACCCAGCCAAACTGGGCAACTGGGGATGAAGGGCTTTGGTCAGACAAGTAAGCAAGAATCCAATGCTCACTATGAATGAGATTCAGAGTTCCTTTGTGGATATTTTTACAGAAGGACAACCATCCATGCAGCACTCCACCAATCAGGCCTTAATGGCAGAGTGGCCAGACGGAACCTATTCCTCAGTAAAAGCACGACAGCCTGCTGGGAGTTTGCCAAAAGGCTCCTGAACGACTCTCAGACCGTGAGGAGTAAAATCCTCCGGTCTGATGAAACAGTGTGTGGAGAAAACCAGGCACTGAGCATCACCTCATTAACACCATCCCTACAGTCAAACATGGTGGTGGCAGCATCATGCTGTGGGGATGTTTTTCTGCAACAGGAACTGGGAGACAATCCAAGTCTGCTGAAGGGTTTGCTTTAAAACACATTTCAAAGCTGCATTTAGATGAGAGTGTTACAATCACATATTCTATCAGAGCGACACGCAGCGCTGCAGCTGGGCTTCAGCCTGAACTACTGCGGAAGAGATGAAGGATCAAACTAGGAGAGCAAATTAACAGTATTAAAACAGTTCATCACCAATAATAAAGGAGAATTCCAGCAATCTTCTAATTTCCTGCAAAACTAAATGGTTGACATGTAAAGAGAGTCATTCAGAGTGGTTTGGTGTGAAACGCTCTGTTCTAGATAAACTTACCGAATCAGAACTGTTCACAGTGGTGGTGATATAAACCAGACGTCCACCTCTAAAAGCTCCCTCACAGAAAGTTCCTACATGAAATGGTTATGAATTCACTGCCTGATGACTGAGACACTGTTTTACGATAGTTTTGGCCTTAAACTCCATTCATGGTGGAGGGATACATGCAGGGCGCTGTGAGGCAAAATAGTCCCCAAAGAAAACTTATTATTTTTATTTTCCGCTATTTTCCATCATCAACATTCCATATAAACTCAGAAGACTCGTGTAGGTTCACTGGTGGTTCTGGATAGTAAATAAAATGTCTATATTAGTGTTGTAGTCATGGCGACCCCTGGTTCCTATCACCACCACTGTAAAGACATCTGAACCATTTCACACCAAACCACTCTGAATCTCTCTGATTACATCTCACACTGAATTATGGAGGAACTGTGGTGGAGTTCCCCTTTAACTCGTTTATTTAGGCTTATTAATTACAAATACTCTTAAATATATAGGTGTTATAAAGGGTTCTAGGCACCACAGAAGAACCACTGTTGGTTCCCTAAAGAACATTTCGATGGAGGGCTCTCTGAAGAACCTTTCTTGTAATGATTTCTGTGACACGTAGTTTAAACTGTCTTGATTTATGAGACTTCGTTTTCGAATTTTCTGTTCCACCTTAAACGACGTTACAGCTTTTAAGGTGGAACGCAAAATTCGAATAATAAGCTCGTATCCTACAGATCTTGTTACTGAGTGACTGACTGTCTATAATACTGTAATACTGTTTTATTCCTCTTTAATTCAGAAATTCAGTTTTACCTCCAGTTTCTCCACAAGTTCGTCCTCAGCTCCGAACACGAGCTGCCGCAGCCTCTCCTCCTCCGGCTCCATCATCTCTGCTGACCAAACCCGCCTAAACCAGACTAAACTCCTGATTTCTGAACTTCAGCTGTGTTTATCGGCTCTGTGTGCTCAGCGCCATGTCTCCAGCACATGGGTCAGCCCTGGCTTCTTCACCGTCCACCCCGGGAGGCTTTACCGCCGCAGAGGAGTACAGCGCCCCCTGCTGACCTGGAGGAATACAAAGAAAAAACACACCGCACGTTAAAATGAATAATAGAAAAATGTACCAATTTAATAAAAAATAGATCTTTATTGTTGTATTTAAGCGTCCCAGTGATTAGGAATAATAATTGCAAGTAAATAATTTAAAAAAGAATCGTTTAATTTATAGAGCATTTTATACATGTAGCAGCGCAAAACTCTCACAACGGAAATAGAAAGGCCCCTCGCCCCTAGCACTGAGCCCTACCACTCAGCCCTACCACTGAGCCCTACCACTGAGCCCTACCACTCAGCCCTACCACTGAGCCCTACCACTCAGCCCTACCACTCAGCCCTACCACTGAGCCCTACCACTCAGCCCTACCACTGAGCCCTACCACTGAGCCCTACCACTCAGCCCTACCACTCAGCCCTACCACTGAGCCCTACCACTGAGCCCTACCACTCAGCCCTACCACTGAGCCCTACCACTGAGCCCTACCACTCAGCCCTCCATTTTGTGCGTTCTCGTCTAGGGGTAGGGTGTCCTGATTCTTGTTGAGATAGAGGAAGAGAGTGAAGTGTTGGGGCTACCTGACCTTCCAAACAGAGAGTTATGAGAAAAAAAGAAAAAACGGCAAGACGGAGAACAAGAGACCAAAGAAACCCACAAATGTGAGAATTTTATCCATAAAAAATTACAATAATCATCGTATTATCTTAGTTTAATGTCATTTCAGTGTGCTTTGGTCCTTTTCTTCATAACAAGCATAAAAAAATCACTAATAGCATGCTAATGTCTCGGTAGCTAATTTTCCTGTTCCTCCTTAAATGGCGCAGCAGTTACATTCTGGCACCTCAGGCATCAGAACTGCCGCTCCATTTAAGGTGGAACGGGAAAATTCAAACAAGAAGCTGGTGAATATCTGACTTCTCCTTCATATCACTGAAGAATTAGGGGTGGGTGATAATAAATAATTGCCCCCCTCTTTGAAGATCATATGATGCCCTAAATGTAACTAAAGCCCAGCAGTGAGGAGCTGAACTTTACCCTCCTCTGCTGTCACTGCAGACTGGCAGGGTCGCCTACAGAGCAGCGCTGGTAGCTGTTAATGAAGTGATGCTCTTTTTATTTGAGGGTCCCATTTCAGAGGGAAGATTTCAACCACTACCCTGTAACTCAGTTCCAAGGGGTTAGGATGACACTCGAAAACAAGGGTAGGGGTAAAAAGAAGAAATGGGACTGGGCCAAAATAAAAGCACAAAACATAACAATAAAATTCATTTAACAGATGTTGAATTAAAAAGATTTTATTTAAAGTGCACTAACTGAACTCAGCTTTCTGCTTGTATGGTTTAGTATGGTTACTAAATGTTTAAGCTCTTTAAGTCAGCGCAGACGGGTAACGCTGTGAGATGATTTTCAGTGATTGGCTGTTAAAATGTAAGGTCTATCGGCTTCAACCACATAAGGTTCGTTTTGACTGATGGACAAAGCTTCTCCTTTGGATGTCTGACAGTCACTATCAGAACTAGTGTTCAAAGGGGAATTCCACCAAAGTTTCAACATTCCTTCATAACTCAGTGTGTGAGATGTAAACAGAGAGATTCAGAGTGGTTTGGTGTGAAATGGTTCAGATGTCTTTACAGTGGTAGTAATAGGAACCAGGGGTCGCCATGACTACAACACAAATATAGACATTTTATTTACTATCCAGAACCACCAGTGAACCTACACGAGACTTCTGAGTTTATATGGAATGTTGATGATGGAAAATAGTGGAAAATCTCACAACACCCTGCATATCATGTATCCCTCCACCATGAATGGAGTTTAAATATATTTATATACATATATAAACAGCTGAAACACCCTGATTACAGTGGACTGGCACTTCCTCTGTAGTCCTTTATAGCTGTTTTACAGGGGATTCCCGCTCACACTGCTGAAGGGAAGAAGAAACAGAACAAGGCTGTGTAATGAAATTCAACTCCAGCTGCAAACAATGCAAACAGTGGCTTGTGGGGGCCAAGCACTATTAGCCAGTGCACTGGGAGTATCATATTTAAAGCAATGTTATGTAACAGTTTTACCTTAAACGAACAGCTTCAAAATCATTTTGATGGTACACTCAAGCATCAGAACACAGAGGGAGTGTGTATTCACGATAACACACTCCTCGAGTGTTCTATTGCTTTTATACAACAGTTAAATAAATAAAGTAATAAATTAATAAACTGGGCCGTGAACGCGGCGTTTAATATGTTTTAATGTTCGCAGTTCCTTCACCAAATTATAGTTCCTTAACAAGCAGCTTGTTGCTACGTCAGAGTAACGAGCTCCGCCCACTCGCTGCACAGCCGGCAGTTTGTTCTCCAGCTCCTTACACTAAATTCCCAAACTGTCATCACCACTGAGCAGCTTTTCAGTCGGCAGCTGTGACAGAAGAACAGCTGAACAACCTGGAATGAACCCAATACCATTTGCCAAACATGTAGTCTGATCTTCAGAGTCTGACCAAATCAGACCGCAATATCAGGTTTAGCTCAGTTTTGTCAATTTTTGCCAGATCAGTATTAATGTTGTTTTGTTCCAGCCAGTCTGTAAAGCATCTTACAGCCCATTTAGTTTGGTTGATGTCATGCAGATATTAGGCAGCTCGTGGGCTCAGAACTGGCCTATGTGCTCATTAAAAAAGCAGTCCAGGCTAAAACAATTCTTATAACTTCAGCGTGAATGGGCGGGGCTAAACTGCTGTAGGCTGAATGGGTGGAGCTAAACTGCTGTAGGCTGAATGGGTGGAGGTAAATTGCTGTAGACTGTATGGGTGGGGCTAAACTGCTGTTGGCTGTATGGGTGGGGCTGAACTGACATAGGCTGAATGGGCAGGCCTAAACGGATGGAGACTGAATGGGCGGGGCTAAACTGCTGTAGGATTAATGGGCGCAGTTCAACCGCTGTAGGCTGAATGGGCGGGGCTAAAGTGTAATATATAAATGAGTTTGCTATTGCTGTTTAGTTTCCATGTATGCACTTGAGAGTGAATGTATGTTCCTGTTTGCATGCTGCATCAAACTCTCTGAGGACATTTTTTTCCATGATATGGGCCCTTTAATGAAACCCTGTAATTGTGGACACAGTATTTAGAGTGAAATAAAGTGCATAGTGCTTCTTATATAGATGCATAAAACAATTTTTAGGCAGTATTTTTTTTTTTCGCTTTGGTTTAACCAAGCCTTTATTTATTTATTTATTTTTCATAATGCTTGCACTTACTATTTGCACACTTTGTGAAGCTTAAGCTTTATTTCTGTGTATGGTGCTGTACATATAACAATAACAAAAAAATGACATAATAATAATTATTATTATTATTATTGCCACAGTGGTGTCAGACGTGGGCTAATGACGGTGGAAATATGTATTACGAAATTATATTTAAAAATCGGACATTTTTTAAGTCTGTAATAATTCACTGTTTAAAATGCGCTGTATGAACACACCCCGCGCTGTGTGAACGCGCCCGGCCTTTATAAGCGCGCTCCCGCGGCACTTTCTCTCCTCTTCGTTCATACAGCTCGGACTCTCCGCTCCAGCACAGGGATAAAAAGGTGGGGCATAAAGGGCGAAAATACCACTTTTTACTATTATTTTAATTTTTTTTTGTTACACATTTATGTGGAGACTTTAATTGCAGCGCTGATTACATTCCGCTGCATAAAATTCCTGTACTTTACTGTGAGCCCGTTCCACCTTAAATGGTGCAAAGTAAATGGTAATGGCTGCACCATTTAAGGTGGAACGCAAAATTCGAACTCCAGCCTCATGAGAACTAGCAGTGGGAAGGTAACCTGGATCAGTTACCTTTAAATATTGTTTTTTAGAGACATTCAGTCACGCAGCTGTTCGCTTCCTATTTATGTAACGTAATTTACATGAAATGTACTAAATTATCGTTGGAGCATGCGGAAGTGTGCTGTGCAGGTGGAGCCAGCTGTGTGTTTTGCGGCTTAAAAATATTTTTAATTTGTTAAATTGCCTTCCAAAGATCTAATGAGGAGTGTAGAGTATCTTTCGCTTTAAGTGTCATTTTTACTGGCGCCTTTTGGTTCGTGTTGGAGAAACGCAGCAGGACTTTTGTCCCCGATCTCTGATCTACACATAATGTCCGAGCTTCGTCACTATGGAGGCGATGATGTGTAGATCAGCGGATTTCGCCTTCGCTCGCCGTTCCAGTCTTTAATCCCCACCTCGCTGTAGCTAAGTGTACCGAGGATAGATTAAACCCATCAATCGTGTCGGGTTTATGACTCCTGCAGTGGCTTTGGTCGTTTAATTCGGGATTTTTGTCTCTTGTAATCCTCTTGGCCTTTAAAAGCTGATGGAGCCCGGAGAGCATGTGGCACTAACATGGCGGAATGAGTGCTGCTTTAACCTCCTTAAGCACTGTTCACTTTACAGCTCGGACAGAAATAGAGCTGCTTAGTATGGCGATAATGTATGGGCTACATATGAGCTATAAATACACCCCCTCCCAACATATGGCTGCTTTTTTCATTTTAGTTTTTTTTGGCGGCCTTCTGTTTCAAACTGCAGACTTTTAATTTGTAACGTACTTGATTTGGTAGCAGTTTGACGCTGACATTCTGAACCTGTTTCAAGATGTTATTTTTATTTATTTGTCATCAAATGGTCGTGGTCAGACAGGGCAAGGACAAAAGTATGTAAAAATAGCAAACAAAACGAAGTAAAAGTAAATTGCACATTAAAGTGCAAATATATATGTAGAAAGCACTGAGTTCTAGATAGGGGGGAAAAATCACCAGCCTTTGAGAATAACCCCATCTGCACCATTAATTCAAGTTAAGCTCTGTATAATTTTATTTTAAAAAAGAAAATCTGCTTTGTTTAAAGTTTAAAAATATAAAAGGGCCCATATAATGGAAAACCAAATGTCCTGATCATCTTTTAAGTGAAAATCTGATGTAGACTAAGTTTTAAACTAACACTCCAGTCCATACATAGAAACTGAGCTGCTAGAACAGCCTGTTTTGAATCCATTGTTTTTGTGAGGTCACAGAAACCCAACCGGTTCAACAGGCAGCAGTTTGGTACCATTCAGTTACACTAAGCTGTCTCAGCCTGGACTGCCTTTGCATGAGGTGCAATACAGGGCAGCCAGTCAGAACAGGGCTCATTTACATATCAGTCTTAAAGGCACAGTAACAGCCAGCCTGTTTCATTCTGAGGGATAAAGAGAAGTTGGAAAATGGTCATAAAAATGAGTTATGACCACTTCTGGTATGTAAAACCACACAGACGATCTTAGTGGACCTCAGTGAGGAGGGGAAAATAAAAAAAGGCTGGGTATGGGCTCTTTACTTTTAAAGAGGTCATTCTGTTGCTAAAACACCACTCTTGTTTTTCAGTGCCATGGCTGCCAAAACTGAACGCACCTTCATCGCCATCAAGCCCGATGGAGTTCAGAGGGGCCTCATCGGAGAGATCATCAAGCGCTTTGAGCAGAAGGGCTTCAGGCTGGTGGCCCTCAAGTTCCTCCAGGTTTGTAGACGCGTGACTCTTCCTCCTCTCCTGGTTCCCCTCCCTTACTCCAGCCGCTCTCCTCTGTGGAGTGGTCTGGCATTGACAGGGGAAACAGCACACACTCTGCCACACACGTCTACTGCCGTCTGTCAGTAGGGGTCAGGTGGTGGAGTGGACACTGTTCACCAGCTCTCTAAAGCTGAGTGCTTTAATGAGGAATCTTATCGTACACCTGTGGATCCTTTACCTGCAGAATCAGCATTAGAAAACTAAGTTTGCTTGCCAGCTGCCTGTTACATCGCCTGTATCATGATGATTGGGCTAATAGAAACTATTAAACAATTGAAGTTATGTTAACGTATTAAATCTTTTCACACTCCTGTAAAGTTTGTTTCTTACAGCAACCATAATTTTGTTTTCCCTGGCACAGCTAAGATCATGAGCGAGCCGTTTCTGAGCTGAATCGGCCGTTTTAGGCTGTTGACACCTTGTAGTCCACACCAGAGTTTGGGGTTTCGTGTTTTCTATAAAATCAAAACTTTTACTGGCCTGTCCTTGCATACCATCCTAAGCCCAGAGAAATTGCTCCCCTTCTTGATTTCTGGCAGCAGTATGTCAATTTTGACTTATCTTAAAATAACTTGATCTTAAAAAAGGTTCCTCAACGGTTCTTTAAAGAAAATGGTTCTATTCAGAACTATGAACACTCAAAGAACTGTTTCCATGCTTAAATGTTTCTTTGCATGGTGAAAGCGTTCATCAGATTGATGGAGAATGTGCTGTAGATGGTTCTATATAGCACCAAAAAGGGTTACAGGCTTGACATTGTAACAATAGAATGTTGGAGCTGTGTAGAACACTCCATCCAAAGAACGCTTTCACCATGCAAAGAAGCATTTAAGCATGCAAAGGGTTCTTTGTGTTCATGGTTCTGCTTGGAACAGTTTTCTTTACTGAAGAACCATCTTAACAGTGTACTATGCTAAAATGATGACTTACTAAATCTAGGGTATTTATTTTGGGATTAGGTCGATGTTTGTAAGATACCATGTCAAAATTTACTCTGAATGTTTACATGACTCCTTACTGACTTAGTGTTATTTATGACCTATTAAATTAAAGTAGGTAATTATGGTGACCTAGTAAGTCATTGAGATACTAGGTGTAAACTAACATGCTTCTGTGAGAAACAAAATAAATGTACATTTTGTTTTTAATATAAATAATATATAATCAATTTAATGTGTTCTTGCCCATTATTGTGCTTGACATCTGTAGCATCTGGTTTCTACATGTATTGCAAAACGTCAGAAATAAACCTGAAACACTGCTGTAGGGCGACGAGTACCCTTCTCTGATATTACAGGGTGATGGAGTGAAGCACACTCTGATCCTGTGATCTGAGGATTAATGGAGATGCATTAATGCTGTTGTGAACCTGCTGTTACTGCACTTCAGCTCCTCCCAGCTGAACTGATGTTCTCCTGCTTCCTTTTCTCCAAACAGGCGTCTGAGGAGCTGCTGAAGCAGCACTACATTGACCTGAAGGACAGGCCGTTCTACCCTGGACTCGTCAAGTACATGGGCTCTGGACCTGTGGTCGCCATGGTAACCGCTTCCAATTCACCTCCATGATTCCATGCAGCAAACAAGTGGAGCAGAAGCCCAGAGAGATTGGCTCTCTTTCCTGCTATGCTGAAATAATTACTGTCTTGAAATGTCACTATTTTGGGATTGTCAGTGTTTTTGGACACTTTGTTTCTTATTTTTTCCTGAAATCTTAAAATAATGACATTTATTAAGGCTTATTAAATTTTAAGAAAGTAGGGAATTATTTTGGCATTGTGTAAAAAAAAAAATAATGATTTAATTTACACTTACTAACTAACTTACTTACTGCTTCTACAAGAAACAGAAGAAATGTGAGGTTTCTTTTGTTGCACACTGCAAATCTTAAATCTAGTTATTATACTCGTCAGAATATGAATAAAACCATGTAGAAATGGACACTTTAATTAGTTGTAGCTGGTGAAATCCTCTTTCCATTGGCAGACAACTGATCGTTTCACTATTTACTGGAATGAGACCTCTTTACCAGAGAGAATTGCTTAAAGCAAGTAAACGTGGAAAGAAGTTAAAGCTTATTAGTCTTATAATGAGAAGTTGGATCTTGATACTTCAGATTTCACTTTGCTAGACTTTATTTTTGCAGGACTTGCATTATAAAGTGTCCAGAATAACTGAAAAGATGTTTTATGATGACCCCTCTGTGTGGGTGCAGGTGTGGGAGGGGCTGAATGTGGTGAAGACAGGCAGAGTGATGCTGGGCGAGACCAACCCTGCAGACTCCAAACCCGGCACCATCAGAGGAGATCTCTGCATCGAAGTTGGCAGGTGAGCTTCCACGTCCTCCACACCAGCGGTTCAGTCCTGACCCTGGAGACCCCCATCCTGCCCTCCCTACACACCTGACTGCATTTGGTGGCTACTTATTTATGGGAAATTGCATCAGTTTCTCAACATTTCTGCACTCGGAAAATAAGGCAATGTTTATTTAGTGTTCAGTGTCTGTTGGTGTGAATTACACCCACTTGGTCTCCTTCTGGACATCCAAAATGTCTGCAAAACAGTTTCTCTAGTCTGTTTTACCTCCCTGTCCTGAATCTACTTGGACAGGAAGATGCCATTTAAATAAGCAAATGGACCAATCACCAGCTGTTTGACTTGTAGGGGCAGACAGGTGTCAAAACGCTGCTATAACAGTCTTACAGGACATGTTGGTTGATTAAAGCTAAACTGGACATATTGGGCACTGAGTGTAACTGACTCTGCAAGCTGTGTCCATCTTGATTAATCAGGACTGGGTGGAGCCTGAGGGTAACCTGTAGGAGGGTCTTCAAATCCAGACCTTTTAATCCAATTTCCAGTCCAGGATTTTATTGTAGGTCGTTAACCAAACCATTCCGATAACTAAACGGCACCCTGGAGTCTGGTGCTGAACGATTTGAGGAAATATCCAGTTTCCTCACTGCTGTTTTGACTGCAATTGACTTATTCCTTTCCTTATTTAAAGAACACCTGCATATAATTTGTCTGGTTTGAGGCTTGAACGCGGAGTTAACCGGACTGCCCTGTAGTTGTGGTTGTGATGCTTCCGATTTGGTGTAACTCATCTGGTAGTTCACAAGCTCAGTAATAAGTGGGGAAATTTAACCAAATATCTACCACAGTGTTGACATTGTAGGTCAGAGGTCTTTAATTAAAATTCAATAAAGTCCAGTCAAAGAAAATTTCAAGCAAAAGTCCAGAACATCATAATGTTTAACTTGCATTATGACTCAGTGCCATATACTGTTTACCTAAGTAGCCTAGTAGGTATATCAACATCTTATACAGTCAACAACTGAATATCAGATCAAAAGACCAATTCAGTCATATTTCAACAACATTTACTGTCAGTTTTCTCTTTTTAGATCACGCCATGTGAAATAACTTCCCTCTGACTCACTTTCTTCTCCGACTGCTGTTTCTCGCCTCGTCCCTCTGCTGTGTGAGCATCACTCACTCGAGTCTCAGCTTATTGTAATGCACAGATCTGATTGGCTGAGTAGCGTCACGTGTAATTCTTACAATGCATGCCATTGGTCTCCCAGGCTGCTAAAGCTACCGTAAAGGCTAGAAAAGTTAGACCCATTAAAATAGGACCACCCAGTCAAAATTAAATAATTCTCCATAGTTTATCGGTTACAGGTCCAGGTCCGCATAGGACAGCGTCTGGGTCTGGACTTGGACCGTGGTCCGCCTATTAGTGACCTCTGTTGTAGGTGATAAATTGCTATTTGCAGCTAATTTTTAAAAATTGCAGTCTTTTGAATTTGTGATTCAGTATTAAGTCAGGTCCAGTCCCTTATCTTTACCCCTACCCCTTGTTTTCGAGTGTCCCCTTGCCCCCTTCGAACTGAGCTACAAGGAGTAGTGGTTGAATCTTTCAAACCTACCTTTGACTACAAAATCTAGGACCAGAAACTGGTTTCAAGGTCTGGATTTGAGGAACTCTGCTGTAGGACATGCAGTTAGCACCACGCTAACTGGTTAGGTTAATAATTGTTAGCTACATTAGCTTTGTAGCTCCGATGCTAAAACTACAGAACCAAACTTCAGACACCAAACGTGTCTTTGTTGACTACACTTGGGTTAAGGTGGGGAGACTGGGGGGAACTGGGCGTGGTCCTATGATGCTAATCCTGCTGAATGTGGGTTTTTTATAGGAACATCATCCATGGCAGCGACTCTGTGGACAGCGCTAACAAAGAGATCAACCTGTGGTTCAAGCCGGAGGAGCTGGTGTCCTTCAAGAGCTGTGCCTACGACTGGATCTACGAGTAAATCCGTCCTCCTCAAACTGTAGCTCTGCCCCAACTTGACCCTCGTTTCTGGACCATTCATCATCGCAATGCTGTACACCTGACATTTGTATCATGACCTGTCTGTTTTCTGACTGTGGAGCACTTACCGAATAAAACCCTTGAGGAAAATTTCACAATGGTTACTTGCAGTTATTTATTTTAACTTATTCGAGAGGGACAATAGATACTGTTCATATACTATGCAAACTGTTTACTTTAAGCCTCCAGCTAAGGCTAATTTGAAGCTCCTGACTGTGGTCAGGCCTTAAACAAAACAGCATGTTTGGTAGATCTTTATTTAAAGCAACCTGGAGGTGAGACACTTCCAGTGTGAGCTGAAGAGCTGCAAGCTTCAGAAACTGCAGGTAAATGTGTACAATGGAGGAGGGGTTTAATATTGTACAGCAAAAGCCTTGATTTATTAAAAACATGAGATTTAATAGAATCGTGTTTACACTGCAAAAACAGTATCTTGGCATGTAAAAGTATCTTAATATCTACTGTGTGTCATGTTGAGATTGTAAGTGCATCAAGATTAACTTATTTCTAGACATTTATCTGAAGTTCTCCCTATGTTGGCAGATTATCTTGCTTGTTTGAAGAGCTGTGCTATTCTTAATGCTAACTCTCACTTGCCAAGATCCTTTTTTTTTCCTTGTACTGAGCTATTAAAACTGATGCAACTCTGATCTGACCATTAAAAGTCAAGGCACTGTGCAAGGATTAGACTTTGCAGTAGGTATTTAGCACCCACTGGTCATGTTTTGCATAGTTCGGCTGTTGCCAAGTTTCAAGAGCATGGTGGAGGTCAAGAGTGGTCAGCTGTACAATGGCTGTTTGAATGCATGTAGCTGAGATAGGAATACAATGCAAATAAGGTAACCAGCCTTTTCTGACTAATTGTACGCTGAGCCTTGTAGAGCAACCATTAAAGGGGAACTCCACTGATTCTTTTACAGATCTCCCCATAGTTCAGTGTCAGATGTAAACAGAGAGGTTCAGAGAGGTTTGGTGTGAAATGGTTCAGATGTCTTTACAGTGGTCGTGATAGGAACCAGGGGTTGCCATGACTACAACACAAATATAGACATTTTATTTACTATCCAGAACCACCAGTGAACCTACACGAGTCTTCTGAGTTTATATGGAATGTTGATGATGGAAAATAGTGGAAAATCTGAAATAGGAAGTTTTCTTTGGGGACTAATTTGCCTCTGCATGTATCCCTCCACCATGAACATCCTTTTAAGGCCAGAAATCTTCTGAAAACGATCATAAAACAGTGTCTCAGTCATCAGGCAGTGAATTCATAACCATTTCATGTAGGAACTTTCTGTGAGGGAGCTTTTAGAGGTGGACGTCTGGTTCCTATCACCACCACTGTGAACAGTTCTGACTCTGTAAGTTTCTCTAGAACAGAGCGTTTCACACCAAACCACTCTGAACCACTGTGTTTACATCTTAACTGTTTAATTATTTAGAATATTTTGTAGAATATTACAAGAAATTCCTCTTTAAGCTTAGAAATATGTGTTTTCAACTATAGTGATCATGGCTGCATGAGGAGATGAGGTGGGTGTAATTCTCACACCAGCGCATACTAAAAACTAAAGAAGCTCCACAATAAATACAGCGTTTTTCCAAAGTAACCCAGGTCCAGCAGTATTTACAGTAATCTACATGTCCAAAAATATCTGGACGGCCCTTTTAATGAGTGAGTTCAGCTACTTTAAGGTCACCTAGATTGTATAAACTCTATAGAAAAGCACAGACCAATAGAATAAGATGCTCTGGAGCAGCCTAAGGTCTCCATGCCCAATGCCCAGCGTGGGCTAGAGGGGTCTAAAACCCCCCAGCATTGGGCTGTGGAGCAGTGGAACTGTGTTCTCTGGAGTGATGGAGCTCCATCCAGTACCTTTGGGATGAGTTGAAGTGATCCAGAACTGACCATCCAATATCAGTACCTGACCTCACTAATGCTCAATCAAATCCTCACAGCCATGTTCAACATCTAGTGTAAAGCCTTCCCAGAAGAGTAGAGGCTGTTACTGCAGCACAGACTCACTATTAACACCTTTGTTTCAGAAGAAACAAGTCTACAAACGTTTGGGCTGATAGTAAATCTCGCTAATTAAACTGGTCACTCATATGAGAGAGCAATAAAGAGGACAAAGCACTCTGAAGAACAGTCATTAATATTAATGAGCGGACCGTCAGTGAGAGTAAAGCAGAGTGAACTGCTGCAGTTGGAGCTTAATGTACACACTGATGAAGCTTATCATGATGTTGAAGATCACAGCAGAGGAGCTGTTTCACATTTCATTACTGAAACGTACGTATCGTCGCAGTCTAACCTCCGAAACGGTAGCTTTACAGGAGAGAGTGAAAACCATGTTTTTGAGATGTAATGAGATTTCGTTCTATGCAGTTTTGGAGCATTTCTATTGGCCCATTCATCATGAAATCTCCACACAGCGTAAAGGCCAGCTGGAGAGCTCAGCGATATATTGGAAGTGTACTAAACATGAAATACTCACACATATTGGCCATTTTATCAGAAACACTCATCATATATGACATACAGCAAAAGTGAGCGCACCCCTGTTCAATATCACTAAAATATCAAACAATTTAACGTATCATTTTATTAAAACTACACTTTAAATTGGAAAACCCGGATGACTTCTGTTGTGTTTAATTAAAAATAATCAGGTCAGACAGACTATACTGAAATTATAGACTTTTTGAATTATAGAATTATGTCGTAGAAAGTCAGTGAGTGAGTTTACATGCAGTCAATAATCTGATAACTGCAGACAATCAGATTTTGTCAGTAATCTGATCAACACATTTACATGCACTTCAGTAATCAGATAATGGGGAAACTCCAGGTCTACATGAGTCAGACAGTAATCAGATTTCTGCTTTGCAACCAGCCAGTAAACTCACAGAAGAAGACGCGACGTAAACATAACTTCATGCCGCAGCTTTTTTTAAACATTGCGCCTGAAAATATGAACATACATCATCTAGAAGATGAAGAATATTTAAATCCTTCATTTCATGTTTGGTTTCAGCGCCGCTCCAACAGTGAGCGCGTTTACATGCACTCAATAATCCAATCACTTTTGGAGCGGCGCTGAAACCAAACAGGAAATAAAGGATATGAATATTTTTCCGTCTTCTAGATGATGTATGGTCATATTTTCAGGTAAAGTGGTGCGATGTGTTTGATGAAGTTTGATTTTTACGTTACGTTTACGTCGCGTCTACTTCTGTAAGTTTATTGGCTGGTTGTAAAGCAGAAATCTGATTACTGTCTGACTCATGTAGACCTGGAGTTTCCCCATTATCTGATTACTCAAGAGCATGTACACACATTGATCAGATTACTGACAAAATCTGATTTTCTGCAGTTATCAGATTATTATGTGCGTGCATATGCACTCAGTGTTTTGCTGCCATCTCGCAACATCCGCTGTCTGATCTCACGCATGCGCAGGCTGAGAAATCCGATAGAAATCAGAGTAAGAGTTTACATGCACTGAGAAATCTGATTACTCAGCTAAAATCCAGCCTCTTTATCGGATTTCTTAATTGGATACCTAGATCAGAATATGGTGTTTACATGACCATTTGAATATCTGCAGTTATCCGATTATGATCGGATTATTGAGTGTGTGTAAACGCACTCAGTGAATCAAAAGTGAGCACACCTGTGATACAACTGCCGATTAAGGCTAATTAAGCCCTTTTTCACCTTTGAGCAAAATATTAATGGACTGTTTGTTTACTAGACAGATGTATTACCACAAATGTAGTTAACACCAGAATCTCCTCAGTTCTGGTCTCTTTTGGGCCGTGTGTGTACATAACAGCAAGAAAAAGTAAGAAACCAGTAAACAGGGTAGAAGGAAGATGTTTCTAATAAAGTGGCCAGAGTATGTGAAGTATTAGTAGCTCAGGTGGTGTTTCCATTATTCTGTCCCCCCCCCATACGTATATTAATGAGGGCAAAGATTATTCAGTTCTGTAAAGAATTGACTGACAGTAATAAAACTTCCATACGCAGAAAAAAAATGTAAGATTTATTGTTAAAAAATGAAATTTGACATTCATAGTTCTCTCTCCAAATACATACATATATATATATATATATATATATATATAGTTTTATACATACTTCATATAGCTTAGTAAACCTCATGTCGACAGCACGTTAATCATGTAAAGGCAAGAAAATAAAAATATTTCGACCACTAAAAATGTAAAAACTCTGAATTCCTGTTAAGTGCCATGCAGAGAAAATGACAGGGTGTTTTAAATTAGTCGTACAAATCACTCCATACCGTATCGCAAATACAAGAATACAAAGAAGAGAAGTTATTTTCTCCACCATGATCACAGTTTTTTTTTTTTTGTGGTTGTTTTTTTTTTTCTTTACAAGATCATCACTTCAAATCTATTTAGCACCAGAATACAGTGTGATGGGCTTTTCACATTAACAACTAAAACCACGCACAGCCGCCCGTCTCTTTGGGGCTTTTGAATAAGAAAACAGTAATAAAGTGGACGGTTTTAGCTTCAGAACACACAGCCTGCTCGAAACCAGCGTGTGTTCCTGCTCTTCTCTTCCAATTTAAGACAAAGTTCAGCAAAAAAGCCACATATTACCACAAATGTAGAAGATTAGCCAGGACATGGTCCGGAGGGCTGCTTGTTTAGCTTTAGCACTGGAGCTACGAGGCTAATGTAGCTAATAAATAGTGAACAGTTATGAGCACATTAATTAACTTGGTTCTAACAAATGTAAACTTGGTCTCAAACAGTGTGGAGGTGTTTAGTATCTCTAATAGTCTTGATTATGGTGTTTCTGACTCTGTATGACTCACTGTTACCTATAAACATGGACTACAGTTCGTTAGCCTAGCTAAACACAGCAGCTAGCAGCCATATGAATATGGCAGATGAATGTTTATAGGTAATAGTGGGTCATACAGAGTCAGGAACCACAGAATTAAGTCTGTTAGAGATTCTGAACACCTCCACACGGTTTAATTAGTGTGTGAAAACAGCATGCAGTTAGCAACACGCTAATCTGTGGGGTACAAGCTCCCATTGTGTGTTAGCCTCCATTAGCCTCGTAGCTCCAGTGCTAAAACTGAAGAAGCAAACTTCAGACACCAAACATGTCTTTGCTGAGCGACTACATTCAGGGTAAGAGGGGAAAATGAGCGAATGAGAAAGAAAAATGAGGGAATTTGATCTTTTGCTGAACTTTCGCCTTTTTTTTTAGATATGTTTCTGAAACAGAAGTACAATTCTAGATCGCAGGCGTTTGCCTGAAAACAGTCGAGCCATAACTACGTTTTACAGAATTCCTCCTTCTTTTGGTCTCTTGAGCACAGACAGAAACAGAAACGGTGTAAAGGATTTGTTAACAAATATTTTTTTTTGATTAAAAACTTCAGAAATAACGAAGATACGCATGAAGAGGATTCACATTCAGAGTAAAAACAACCAGTTCACAGGAACACATGTTAAACATACAGGCAATATTACACTGGCCAAAATCACTGCTGGGTAAAACCTTAATGTTTTAAGATCTTATTGCTAAATGGGGTGTTTAATAATAATAATAATAATAATAATAATAATGAAAATGAAAATAATGAACTATTATTAGGGATGCGTTGATATAGGAATGTATCTACTGATACTGACACATGTTTACACTATAAAACATACTATGTTTTCCTAAACATTCTGTTCTTCTGGAGTTCAATAAACACATAATCACACATCTGTCTGAAATACCAGACGCATATAAACATCTGTCCAAATACCATATTTATTTCCTAAGCGAATATCTGTGAATATTGATAGGATTCCTATATCACTGTGCATCTCTGATTATTATTATTATTATTATTATTATAAATTTTATAACAGTGTGTAATCTATGTTAGTCTAATAACTGGAGTACGTTAATGGCCAAACGAGTGACAGACGTTCAGGACAGTACAGAAGAAAACGGTTAAATCTGTAAATATACACTGTAAAGGACAAAACAGGTGAAACTACTAACTTTTACATTTGACGCCATTACAGATTCAGTCTGAACACCGAACACAGATTCACATCTAAACTCACTTTCTTTATCCAACAACAGCCAACAAACCAGCCACGAGCACAGTTCTTCCTGAGTGTTCATGCAGAAAGGTGAGTGTTCATGTACAGTACTGTGCAAAAGTCAGAGACCCCCCCTATATTCACTTAATCCAGTCAACGCAGCCACTAGTTTTTCAGAAGATATTTGTTTGTATTTGTCCTTCGAAATATAGTAATCCATTTGCATAAGGAAGGAGAAAATCAATGGGAAACAGGTTAAAAACAGGAGTTTCCAAAACTGGAGTTTAGAGCTACAGAGAAAATGGGGCTCCTAACAACCACCTGGAAGACCTGGTCGACCCCAAAACTGCCCCCATCAGATAAACAGCACTGAAAGCTTTCATCTCTGAGAGAGAGGAGAAAATCAAGCTGCTTCAGATCTGAAAACATCCACAGGTGTTTCTGTCCATCCTTCCACTGTGAGAAGACGACTCAGCGCTGTGGGTCTGAAAGGATGTGTAGCTGATCAAGAAGAACCTTACTGAGAGAAGGACAGAAGAACATTTGCTCTAGAACCTCAACACTGGACATCTGAGCAGTGGAGGGAGGTTTTCTGGACTGCTGAGATGTCCGGCAGTAACAGAAGGCAGTGTGTTCACCGCTGAATCACTGAAAGACTCTGAACCGTCAGTGGAGCGAGACGGAGGATCAGAGCAGGTTTGGAGATGCAGGACAACATCTGGAGCTGGTGGTGAGTCTCTGATTGAAGGCGTTACGAACGCCGATGAGTACAAACTCATATTAATACATCATGCAGCTCCTGAAAACGTCTGACTGAAGAACCTCATTCTACAGAGAGATAACGACCCCAAGCTCACTGCTGAGATCAGGACGAAGAAGCTGAACAATGGACTGACCACCCCAGAGTCCAGACCTCAACACCACTGAATGGGTTTGATTATTTCAGAAAATGATCAACCAGCTTCTAAGACTGAACTTTGGAGGTGTGTCTGCAGATTCTTTGAGGAACTGAAAGTGAGTCTCCTGAAAAGAATGGAAGCTGGATTAAAGGGAAAGAGTGACTCACTGAATATTTTAAAATAATTAATAATATGTTTTATTCTTTTGATCCTGACGCTAAAAAAAAATAATTGCACTTTATGTCCTTTTTGACTGGAAATTGTTTAAACGAGGAGTGGTCTCTGACCTCCGCACAGTACTGTACCTCTTTACTGTATAAATATGATTTCAGCTCTGAAATAAAACTCTATGTCTATGTAAATCTGTTATACAGCTGCAGACAGATATTTGAATATGCTAATGTTTATAGATGATCTTCCAAGAGAAAAAGGTTTAATGGCAGCACCTGCATTTGAATAATATCTTCTCTGATATAAAGAGTTTTGTAGCCAAATGCAGTTTAAATAATATTCTGAATGGCATATAATTCATCTCTGAATATAAAACTATAAAACAATAAACATTAGACTGACTTTCATTCTTAACTCAGTGTTTAATGTTCAGTTTAGCTACAGATTTGACTGTAATCTGGGGGATTATGTGCTGGACGCTGCACACATAGACCTTTACATACAATCATATGCTAAAGTTTGTGCACCCCTGGTCAAACTCCACGTTGTTGATTTTCTGAGTGTAAACAAGTTACACATCCTATATTATATTTAACTGTGTTCTCTGTAGATGACGTTATTTCCACTTAGAAAATCAAAAACAACATTAATTTGACCAGAGATACCCAAACTTTTTTACTAATATTTATATTTTATTTATATTTTATTTTTGTTGTATTTATATTTACTCAAATGAAAATGCAACACTGCAAAAAGACAATCTTAGCGAGTGAAGTCATTTTAAATAAAGTCAATATATCTAATATTTCACATTATGAGACTATTATAAGGATAAGATTATTCATATTATTTCAAGACATTTTTACTTGTTTTTTTATTGCTGTTTAGTGACGTTCACTTCTACAGGCTGAATGGTGGGGCTAAACTGCTGTAGCCTGAATGGGTGGGGCTAAACTGCTGTAGCTGAATGGTGGGGCTAAACTGCTGTAGCTGAATGGTGGGGCTAAACTGCTGTAGCTGAATGGTGGGGCTAAACTGCTGTAGCTGAATGGTGGGGCTAAACTGCTGTAGCTGAATGGTGGGGCTAAACTGCTGTAGCTGAATGGGTGGGGCTAAACTGCTGTAGCCTGAATGGGTGGGGCTAAAGTGATGTAGGCTGAATGGTGGGGCTAAACTGATGTAGGCTCAATGGGTGGGGCTAAACTGATGTAGGTGGAATGGGTGGGGCTAAACTGCTGTAGCCTGAATGGGTGGAGCTAAACCGCTGTAGTTTGAAAGGGCGGGGCTAAAGTGGTGTAGGCTGAATGGGTGGGGCTAAACGGCTATAGGCTGAATGGGTGGGGCTAAACTGATGTAGGTGGAATGGGCGGGGCTAAACTGCTGCTAACTTTGCTTGTTTTAAGCATTATTTGTTCAAACAAGTAAAAGTAGACGCCAGTGGAGTTAGAGTCCAGTGACAGTGTCGTTTTCCATTACAAGATAATTTTTAAGAAATAATGCAGATAACTTTGTTTTTTCTGAGGAATAAAGTTTAAAACAAGCATAATTAACCAAACCAACACAGAAGAAGTAAAAATGACTAGAAATAAGTTGAATAACCTCATAATATTCTTACCCAATCTCATAATGAGCAATTGATGATATATTCAGTAAATCTGAGATCATATCACTCCACAAGATGCCGTTTTTGCAGTGAATAATGACATATTTTGATGTTTTCTCTCTGCTCCTCCAGAAGAAACATCTGATGCAAAAACAGAACTTCATCTTTGAAGCTACAGAGAAGATCCTTGGCAGATAAAATCTCTTTTAATCATTTTGTGGAACAAAAATCAAAACTCTAGATTGTTGCTCTTTACCCGTAAATAATAAGTCAGCTCGTCTTATAACGGTCTGCTTCACTGCAGGTTTTCTCCAGCTGTTAACAGATGTTGTTACTGACTGAAAGGTTATGATAGAGGGATAAACACACCTGGCTCAGCACTGACGGAGTTACCTGCTTCACACCTGTGTACAAACAACTAATACTGTCAGAGTGAATTAGTAAATACATCACAGTGTCCAGTTCAGTGTGATATAGAAGAAACTGTGGAAAACTTGGCTGTAACATCAAATAAGGCTCTCTTCTTTAAAAGGAAATTCCACCCACTTTTTGAAATTTCTGCATACTTAAATGGTTAAGATGTTATCAGAGTGGTTCAGAGTGGTGGGTGTGAAACGATCAGTTCTAGATAAACTTACAGAGTCAGAACTGTTCACAGTGGTGGTGATAGGAACTAGACGTCCACCTCTAAAAGCTCCCTCACAGAAAGTTCCTACATGAAATGGTTATGAATTCACTGTCTGATGACTGAGACACTGTTTTATGATAGTTTAGAGAACTTAAACTCCATTCATGGTGGAGGGATGCATGCAGGGCGCTGTGAGGCAAAATAGTCCCCAAAGAAAACTTATTATTTCAGATTTTCCACTATTTTCCATCATCAACATTCCATATAAACTCAGATGACTCGTGTAGGTTCACTGGTGGTTCTGGATAGTAAATAAAATGTCTATATCTGTGTTGTAGTCATGGCGACCCCTGGTTCCCATCACCACCACTGTAAAGACATCTGAACCATTTCACACCAAACCACTCTGAATCACTCTGTTTACACCTCACACACTGAGTTATGCTCAACCAAACACTGTGATGCACTAAAAGAGTGTTTAAAACAGTAACATTTGCATTTACAGTGAATGTATAAAAGTCCTGGGTGAAAACTGACAACTTAACAAATACTTTAAAATACGTTAACATTAGTTATGGTTTTACGTCAGAACCTATTTGTGTCCAACATCTTGTATGATAAGGGAAAATGCCACAGGACGTGTTCTGGTTGGTCTATAGTGATGAAATTTGGTGTAGTTTTGTCTTGGACGAACATCTAACACAATCCAAAGAATTATTTTTCCCATTACATCTAGCTCTTCTACTTTTATTCTCAATCAGATCTGAAATTTCTATCGTATTGTTAATAATCAGTAGTCCTGTGACCCAATGCTGAATGTAATGATTTATTGAGTGATGAAAACTCACTGTTTAGCTGCTTGGTTTGATGGATTTGAGTAATTTCTTCAGATTTGTGCTCAGAGCTTCAGATAAGGGCCTTAATGGTTTAACCAAAATAAGTCATGATTAAACGGACCGCTGAGGGTGAAGCAGGTCAGCAGCCACAGAGCCGATACGAGACACTGATGTGTGGCTTGTTTTTCTGCTGATGAGCTGTGTAAAGTTTATTCAGGCTCACGGTTCCTGTTTGACGAAGAATCCGTCCGTGCTGTTTGAAGAACTCTGTCGGAAGCTGAAATCGTCGGCTTTAGCGGCTTCATCCTTCAGCTGAAGAGCAGCGACTGCAGGACGGAGCACAGGTCATTACTGACACTCATATTACATTTATTTGTGCTACAGCTCAGAAAACATCAAATCACTTTTCTTATTGATAATCTTTATTTTATTAAACATAAAACTGAATGTAACCCTATTTGAGCTGGATTAGTTTTACCAGAGGAGGTCCGGTAATGTAACAAGTGTGTGATTTGACTTATTCATAGAGGATAAAGGATCTCTGTAATTTCCCCAAATTATCCCAAATAGCCCAGATTGAAACATCACTGCGTGGACGTTTATGTCAACATTATGCGACAGGAGCCAAACTTCTGATCAGTAACAACGCGCTGTGTGACTACCTGGAAATTATACAACAGTTAGTTTTGGCCACACAAGCTGATTGGTTGAGAAGCGTTCTAACTGTGCTGTTATTTCACTATAACATCACAGGTTTTTCACAAACACTATCAATCCGCTGAGACGCCGTTGCTAAGCAATGACTGTGACAGCTGTAGGAGACGCTCAAGACATTTGAACGTTTTTACTTCTCACTTTGCCACAAACAGAAAATGGACACTTTTAAGATCACATTTGACCGACAGTCGATTTGGTCAGACTCTGAAGATGAGACGACATTAAATTCCCAAACTGTCATCACCACTGAGCAGCTTTTCAGTTGGCAGCTGAGACAGAAGAACAGCTAAACAACCTGGAATCAGCCAGAAATGAACCCAACACCATTCGCCAAACTAAATGGGCTGTAAGATGCTTTACAGACTGGCTGGAACAAAACAACATTAATACTGATCTGGCAAAAACTGACAAAACTGAGCTGAACTTGATATTGAGGCAGTTTTATGGCTCAGTCTGTACTTCAAAAGGTGAGGCTTACAGCAGACTGTGCAGCGAGTGGGCGGAGCTCGTTACTCTGATGTAGCAACAAGCTGCTCGTTAAGGAACTATAATTTGGTGAAGGAACTGCGAACATTAAAACATATTAAACGCCGCGTTCACGGCCCAGTTTATTAATTTATTACTGTATTTATTTAACTGCTATCGCCAATAAGATCAAGGCTGGGATGATCTATGGTGACCAAATCACAGCCATGATGTTATTTGGCGATAACAAACTCCCTCTGTGTTCTATTGCTTAAGTAAACTAGCATTAGGCTAATAAAGTGGGTTCATTTAACTTACCAAATACCTCCAAGACAGAAAACACACTGCCTTGGAAGAGGAGCTTTCGAGATATTTAATTTTCCTTCTCCTTGTAATTTGGCCATCACCAAAAATGTTGTGAATTTCAGTAGTTTGCCATGAACTTGAGGAATTGGGTCAAATCGAGGTCCATTTTAGCTGATCTCTTTGTCTTCAGGTCACACAAAAGGAAAGTTTTCTATAGAGCTCAAGTCGGCTTCTTTCTCGCCAGCTTCTTGTTCGCATTTTCATTTCATTACCGTAACTGCTGCACCATTTAAGGTGGAACGGGAAAATTCAAACAAGAATCTGGTGAATAGGAAGCAACTTCAGCCTCATCTGTTTTCTATTAGCTGAGTTTATGATATTACAGAGATGTGGATTCATGCAGGACTGCTGTTACTGAGGTGATCTGAGTTTATTATAGGAGGTATTTCACTCTGGAATTATTACTGAGCAGACAGTAAAACCTACAGGAATGGCAGATTTGTACTGGATTAAAACCACAGAGCTCACAGAGGTAATCACTCAAATCACAGCATGCCCCCCAGGTAATACTAATCCAGCTCAAATAGGGCGTCTGTCTATACATATTAGAGAATGCACTACATTTGCCACTTTTTCAGGCTAAAAAACAAGCAAAAATGTCATTATAGCATGTTAAACATTTTAACAGCGGTCATCATACTTTATTTTACATGTCCTGCATTGCTGTCTGTACTATCAATGTTTTCTGTAACTTCATGAGTGCTTTGGTCCTTTTGTACCTGACGGGGACTATAAGTGAAAACTAAACTAAACTAACACACTTACAGAAATGTTTATTGTGTGCATTATTGTGGGCACTATATCTTAGCACTATTTTAGTTTCTTTTAATCCTTTATTCTATTTTATTTCATTTTATTTTATTTTATATTTCAATTTCTGTTAGCTTTAGCTTCTAAATTTAAATTTTTTACATCTACATCTTTTAACATGTTCTCCTAAGCTTTATCTGGAGTTTTTAAAAAAGTTTGCTAGCTCAGCTATCCCAAGGACTGATTAGCAGTTTAAAGGTTGGTGTCACTTTGAAGTAAGATTGTGTTCAGTTATGTCTGCTGGTCAGTGGTAAAAGCGGTAACTTTGGCCCTTTTCCTCACTTAGAGTGCTGGAAATGACTCGAGTATAATTGTGATTACTCTTATTACGTCTGTAACGATCTTTACAAAAGCCTTCCAGAGGCAGTGGATCTCAGGAACTTTTCTGTTTGTGTAAGGCTCTTTGAATTGCCACTGCATATGAAGGGTGGTGTACAAATAAACTTGCCTTACTGTTAGAAAAACTACAATCATATTTAGAAGATTTATTATGTTTATAGTACACTGTTATTTCTTACTCTAACTTTTATAAATATACTTTTAATTAGATGTTTTCTTAAATAACGGACAGACAACAGACAGACAGACAACAGACAGACAGACAGACAGAGGAGCTAACTTACTAACTCTGGTGCATGGTGGTTTAGCTTTCGCTTGGTGGTTAGCTTTCTCTTTGTAACTCAAACACAGAGAGACTAAAGAAGTAACATAGTTCAGTTAAAGCTGTGTGGGTAGTGCAAACCACACCAGCCTTGTGATTGGTGAGGGGACTGCTTATGTAAGCACTGCTCAAGATTAGGACCACCCAGCTCCCAAAAGTGGAGAATTAGAAGGAATACACTGGCCATTTATTAGCCAATGGAACATCATTCATAGTGCGTTCTGATTATATGTGTACTGATGGCTGAAGAGGAAGATTAACCTACTTATACTGAAAATACAGATTTAGGTTTGCTCAGGCTTTTAAGGGTTAATCTGCTGAACTCAACTCTTCAAACTGCAGACCACTGTCTGGTCATCCCTGGTCCTGGAGATCGACCTTCTTGCAGAGTTTAGCTCCAACCTGTATCCAATAAGCTGCTCCGCCCCCGTACTGAACTCTAATACCTCTGATCCAGCCAATCAGGGATCTGGCAAGAGGCTGATTAGATGGAGCAGGTGTGGCAGATTGTGGTTGGAGCTGGACTCTGCAGGAAGGCAGATCTCCTGGACCAGAGTTGGAGACCACCGCTGTAGGCCGTATGCTGAGGGTCACCTGGCGTGTGGTTTGTCGAGTCTCTGTCGGCCGAGTCGAGAGGAGCGTTGGCAGGAGCAGATGATGGTGAGGGGGCTGATGGGTAATGGGGCGGAGTCATGTTCTCATCTCCACACAGGTTCCTCCGAGGAAGCCCCGCCCCACACAGGTTCACCGGCCGCTTACCAATCGCAATCTTCCTTTCTGAAATTTCACAGCAGCTCGGTTAATATATGAATTCACTGTTACATGGAGGGGGAAGTGGGTAACAAGTGGCTGAAAGTTTATTTGTAGATTTTTTAATATATAAAAAATATATATTTTATATTTATATATATATAAATATAAAAGTATGAAGTTTTCTATGTGTTTAAAGTGGCATTCCGGCCTAAAACTACAGTTTAATATGTTATTTGTGTTGTCATGCAATATGTGTGCAGTGCTAAACTAGTACATTTACAGAAATGTTTATTATGTGTATTACCCCTAAAAATCTAAATCAAATAAACTAAACTGATAACTTATAAAATGTAAACCATATTGTACAATATAATCCCAAGTTAAATTGATAAATAATGTACTGTAATTTACTATTGCTAGGAAAAATACTGTTATTTAGATGATTAATTATCTAATCCAGTTAATCATCAGTTTGACAAAGTTCATAATTTCATAACTTTTTCTTTCATTAAAATGTTCTCTCGTTAATACCAAGCATGCATTTTGTAAATACATCAATACAACCACTGGGAATCCCTGTGGTGTCACCCAATCCAGACTGCTAGTGACTGAGCTACAGGCTAATAAACACAACCAAACCACTGTGTTTATTGTATTGTCTTGCACTTGTGTTCCTGTGTTGGTCCTGGAGGAATGTTGCTTTGTTTCACTGTATACTTGCATAGAGCTGAAATGACAACAAAGCCTTAACTTGAAAAAAAAAAGCATTATTGTAACTCTTACCGAACAAAATCATCTCAAATCAGCACAAAATGAACACCAGAGATGAATTTTCACCCTTTCAGTTACAGAAAAGGAGCCAAACTGAAGGGGAGGAATCTAGATAGCCAGGCTAGTTTTGTGTGTTCTCGTCTAGGGGTAGGGTGTCCCGATTCTTGTTGAGATAGAGGGGTAGGGTGAAGTGTTGGGGCTACATGACCCTCCAAACGGAGGTTTTTCAGAGACTCCAAACAGACAGTTATGAGAAAAAAAGAAAAACTGGCAAGATGGAGAACAAGAGACCAAAGAAACACACAGATGTGAGAATTTTCTCTGTTAAAAATTATAATAACCATCATATTATCTCAGTTTAATGTTGTTTCAGTGTATTTTGGTCCTTTTCTTCATAACAAGCATTAAAAATCAAGTGATGCTGACAACTCGGTAGCTAAATTTTCCATTCCACCTTAAATGGTTGCATTCTGGCACCTCAGGCATCAGAACTGCTGCTCCATTTAAGGTGGGACGGGAAAATTTGAACGAAAATCTGGTGAATATCTGACTTCAGCTTCAGATCACTGAAGAATTAGGGGTGGGCAATAATAAATAATTGCCCCCCTCTTTGAAGATCATATGATTCCCTAAATGTAACTAAAGCCCAGCAGTGAGGAGCTGAACTTTACCCTCCTCTGCTGTCACTGCAGACTGGCAGGGTCGCCTACAGAGCAGCGCTGGTAGCTGTTAATGAAGTGATGCTCTTTGTATTTGAGGGTCCCATTTCAGAGGAAGATTCAACCACTACCCTGTAACTCAGTTCCAAGGGGTTAGGGTGACTCTCGAAAACAAGGGGTAGGGGTAAAAATAAGAAATGGGACTGGGGCTTAGTCTTTAAACCAGAAGATTCTCCAGCAAAAATGAATATAAACTGTTTGCTGTAAACATGCTGACTCTCCTCCTCCAGCAGTGCTGCTGAGTCTCTAGAGGGAGATTTTCCAGTTTATAGACTAAATTTAGTCGAATACAGGAGGAAGGCAGATAGAATACGCTGTGCACTAAAATAACACTGACATTTTGTTATTAAATAATATATATAAATAAAGCAAAGATGTGTGTTTGATTTTGGCACGTAGATCATGAAACGTATTTTCGGCCAAGCTTTAGCGACATTATTGGTCAACCATTCACAAAGAATAGTGGAAAACGGGAAACAACTCAATGGAATCAGGATTTTCTGGAACTGAACAGCCCTACACACTTAAAAAGATGGTTCTTCCAGGGTTCTTTAGTAAAGAAAATGGTTCTATATAGACTTATGAACACTCATCGAATCATCTGCATGCTTAAACGGTTCTCTGCATGGTAAAATGGCTCTATATAGAACCTTTTTTTGGAAAATGGTTCTATATATGGTTCTGCTATTGTTAGACATTTGACATGATAACAACAGAAGAACCCTTTTTTGGTGCTATATATAACCACATACAACACATTCTCCATCAATCTGAAGAACCACTTCACCATGTAAAGAACCATTTAAGCATGCAAAGGGTTCTTTGAGTGTTCTATATAGAACCGTTTTCTTTCTTGAACAACACTGGAAAAGCCATTAATCAGGGATTCCCAGGGTACATTCTTAAAAAGATGGTTCTTCAAGGGTTCTTTAGTCCAGAAAATGGTTCTATATAGAATCATGAATGCTCAAAGAACACTTGGCATGATTAAAGGGTTCTTTGCTTGGTGAAATGGTTATTCAGATTGAGGGAGAATGTGCTGTAGATGCTTCTAGATAGAACATTTTTGAAAATTGTTGACTATTGTTACAAGCCAAAGAACCCTTTCTTGGTAGTATATAGAACCTTTTTTGCTAAGTGTGAACCAATAAAAGGATTTGGGAGCCTGATGTTGTAATTATTAAGAATTAAGAATTAATAATCTTAATTTTAGGATTTGCACATGACTATATGAATGAAGTCACAACTGCCATGTAAATTCTGCACCTCATTCATTATTCGTTTAACATTCGTTTTTAAAGTTTTTAAAGTTTTACCAATCAAACTGTGGGTGATGAAATATACAGTCATGCTTTGGCTAATAAAACGATTAAAGCAGCATTGCTGTCACACTGTACTGTAATAGACTCCAGAGTCCCGTCTGATGATGAACGCTCCTGTTAAAGCCGCTCGTTAGACGCTGAGAGGTAACGAGGGTGATGAGGTGACGGAGCAGGTGCTGACAGAGTGGGAAATGTGACCTACTTTTCTTTTGCCCTTTATACTGCTGGGACTTCTTCCTCTGCTTCGGTACGCCTGCAGAAAGATCCCGCGATGCTGGAAAATCAACACAGTGATAATCAGAGCACTAAACCTGCTGCACACACTTTAAACACCCTTTAACGAGGAGACTACAGCTAATTAATCATCCTTATTCCAAACAGGCAGATGTCACACGGAATCTAATGAGAGACGATCGCTGCTGGATTTTGAAGCAATAGTTAAAAAAAAGAAACAATACAAAATGTAATTTAGAACAAACAAAAAGGAAAAGTCACCCATTGAAGGGGAATGCCACCAAACTTTTAACATTTCTGCATATTCAGTTGCTGAGATGTAAACAAAGATATTCAGAGCATCACATTAACATGTCACATCACTCTCTGTCCTGGTCTCTCTCTGTCTCTGTCTTTGCCTTTGTTTTCTTTGTTTTCTTGGTTTCCCAGTGCCGTGTGTTTCTGTATGTCTGCCATGTGCCTTTGTTGTTGTTTTGGTCTGTCTCCTCCCTGGTCCTGCCCCCTGTCGCCTGCTCCACCTGCATGTAGTCTTAGCCCCGCCTTCTTATTGGTCTCAGGTGTTTCTTGTTCCCCCTCAGCGTATTTATACCCCTCTGTTTGTTCAGTCCCTTTGTCTTGCATTGTCTATCAGTGTGTCCCAATTCAGGGGCTGGATCCTTGGAAGGACGTGGTCTATGAAGGCGTGTCCTTTAAAGCCGTTCGCTTCTCTGCTGACGCCACCATGTTCTCGAATCCTTGCCGGCACGCAGTGAACCTCAGGATATGTTGGCTGGCGAAGGATCCGCCCGTTGGATCCTCCGTTGCCATGGAAACGAAGGACACGTTTCTCGGCTGCATATGAAGGAGCTTCAAAAAAGTCGCGCCGCTGGCCTTCAAATGCAGTCCCTGAACTGGGACACAGCTGTTTTCACTGGTCTTAGGTTTTGTTTCTGGTTTAGTTCTGTTTTCCTTTGCTTTGTGTCATCATGGATTTATCTGTTCCACAAATCTCTGCCACTGAGTTTCTTGACTTTGTTGAATCTCATTTAAATAAAATCAACTCGCACTTGCATCCAGCCTCTTCGCCCCCAACGTTACACTTATTATCTATAAAGATGGACAAAAGTACAGAAAACACTCAGGTTTGAAGCTGCTACTGCGTTTAGCTGTGCTAATGTACTGTAGTCCATCTTTATAGATAACAGTGAGTCTGACAGTCTCAGAATCCAAACACACAATTTGTATTTGTTTGCTGAGTTTAACACATTGGAAAATAATAAAATCTGAGATGTGCCACAACTTTTGCATAAGCCATATTTTATGTTTTATTTTTCTCAGTATGTTAAATTCAGTAAATAAACTGTATTTGTGTATTAAAATGTGCAGAAGTGTGTCTCTGTAGAGGACGTGTTCACTTATTTACACAACGTCATGTGTAACTTAATCAACACAATTTGTAAAGGGGAGTTCAAACTTTTAAGGCTACAGGCTGCTGCAAGCCGGACGCACCAGGAGAAGAAACGTCAGTGCACAGCCTTAAAAAACGCCCCACTCAGCATTTTGTCTGTATAATATTAAACCCAGACCACCAATCCATAGTAGACTACATGTGGCTTTAAACTCACACAGAGAAAGACCCCCAGACTAAAGTCTTTAAGATAAACAGAAACGTGAACATGAAACTATCTGATACCAAGCCTGATGCAGCAGTGCATGTGGTAGCCTGTGAGCGGTGCCCTTTAGTCGGCTGTGATAGTCTTTAGACGGTGTGCAGTAGCCTTTAGCTGGCTGTGGTAGTCTTTAGAAGGTGTGTGATAGCCTGTAGACAAGGTGTGGTAGGCTTCAGATGACTGTGGTAGTCTTTAGACGGTGTGCAGTAGCCTTTAGCTGGCTGTGGTAGTCTTTAGATGGTGGACAGTAGCCTTTAGTTTGTGTGTGGTAGTCGTTAGACAGTGTACAGTAGTCTTTAGATTGTGTGCAGTAGCCTTTAGACGGGATGTGTCAGTCTTTAGTCGGTGTGTGGTAGTCTTTAGCCAGTGTGTGGTAGTCTTTAGCCAGTGTGCAGTAGTCTTTAGACAATGTGCGGTAGTCTTTACAGTGTGTGGTAGTCTTCAGATGGTTTGCAGTAGCCTTTAGCCGGTGTGTGGTAGTCTTTAGACGGTGTGTGGTAGTCTTAAGACGGCGTGCAGTAGCCTTTAGCCGGTGTGTGGTAGTCTTTAGACGGTGTGGAGTAGCCTTTAGCTGGTGTGTGGTAGTCTTTAGATGGTATGATGTATTCTTTAGATGGTATGATGTAGTCTTCAGATGGTATGTGGTAGTCTTTAGATGGTATATGGTAGTCTTTAGATGGTATGTGGTAGTCTTTAGATGGTAAGTTGTATTCTTTAGATGGTATGATGTAGTCTTTAGATGGTATATGGTAGTCTTTAGATGGTATGATGTAGTCTTTAGATGGTATGTTGTAGTCTTCAGATGGTATGATGTAGTCTTTAGATGGTATATGGTAGTCTTTAGATGGTATGATGTAGTCTTTAGATGGTATGATGTAGTCTTCAGATGGTATGATGTAGTCTTTAGATGGTATGATGTAGTCTGGTATGATGTAGTCTGGTATGATGTAGTCTGGTATGATGTAGTCTTTAGATGGTATGTTGTAGTCTTTAGATGGTAAGTTGTAGTCTTTAGATGGTATGTGGTAGTCTTTAGATGGTAAGTTGTAGTCTTTAAATGGTATGTGGTAGTCTTTAGATGGTATGATGTAGTCTTTAGATGGTATGATGTAGTCTGGTATGATGTAGTCTTTAGATGGTATGATGTAGTCTTTAGATGGTATATGGTAGTCTTTAGATGGTATGATGTAGTCTTTAGATGGTATATGGTAATCTTTAGATGGTATGATGTAGTCTTTAGATGGTATGATGTAGTCTTCAGATGGTATGTGGTAGTCTTTAGATGGTATGATGTAGTCTGGTATGATGTAGTCTTTAGATGGTATGATGTAGTCTTTAGATGGTATGTTGTAGTCTTCAGATGGTATGATGTAGTCTTTAGATGGTATGTTGTAGTCTTTAGATGGTATGTTGTAGTCTTCAGATGGTATGATGTAGTCTTTAGATGGTATGTTGTAGTCTTTAGATGGTATGATGTAGTCTTTAGATGGTATGATGTAGTCTTTAGATGGTATGATGTAGTCTGGTATGATGTAGTCTTTAGATGGTATGTTGTAGTCTTTAGATGGTACGTTGTAGTCTTTAGATGGTATGTGGTAGTCTTTAGATGGTATGTTGTAGTCTTTAGATGGTAAGTTGTGTTCTTTAGATGGTATGATATAGTCTTTAGATGGTATGATATAGTCTTTAGATGGTATGATGTAGTCTGGTATGATGTAGTCTTTAGATGGTATGTTGTAGTCTTTAGATGGTATGATGTAGTCTGGTATGATGTAGTCTTTAGATGGTATGTTGTAGTCTTTAGATGGTAAGTTGTAGTCTTTAGATGGTATGATGTAGTCTTTAGATGGTATGTGGTAGTCTTTAGATGGTATGTTGTAGTCTTTAGATGGTAAGTTGTAGTCTTTAGATGGTATATTGTAGTCTTTAAATGGTATGTGGTAGTCTTTAGATGGTATGTGGTAGTCTTTAGACATGTGCGATAGGCTTTAAGCAGCAGGGGTCATATCACAGAACTTCTTAACGCTGTAATCTTATCTGATCTGTTTGGTCTCCATGATGCAGATTAGAACCGGTGACCAAGACATAAGACGCAGCTCTGCACTGCCCTCTAGTGGAGCACAGAGGTCAGACAACTCACAGTTCTTCAATGTGAGAACAGATAATCCTCAAGAGAAGCTAATTTGCAGATCATAAATCATAATTTACTATTTGATTCTTTACACTTTCATGACTATTTGAATGTTCAAACGTTCTGACCCATCCTTACTGTCCATAGTGCTGTGTTTAAAGACTCTCCTACTCACCCTGCATTGCGGGGGGCTGTAACTGGTACCCGGTCAGTTGGCACCAGCCTACAGGGTAAAGGTCAGGCGACTCACAGTCCACCCACTGATCATATTCATCCTCCCAGCCGTCAAAGTGGATCCGCAGTAACCTGTGCACAATCCGCGTCACCGTGGCAACACACACCAGCCGTGGCTCCATGAGGTCCACGGCCTCCAGCTTCATGCCGGGAACGAAGCCGTGGTTGGGGACGTCCTGACGTACATGAGGAAAAAGATTCAGCACAGCAATGAAACTGGACACCTACATAGTATTTTCATTAGAATACACTTCATTTTGGCCATTTAAGGATCACAGTATGTCATACAGTTGTTAGTAACATTAGCCTCGTAGCTAACTTGGCTGATCCACTACATTTTTAGTAAGGGGTAAAATGTTTACATTTTATTTTATGCAAACTATCGCTTTAAAAGTGGTCATTCAACCACTTTGCATCAGGTATGTCTTCAGTATCCATGCCAAGTGCGGAAAAACGAACTTAGATCATTTAACATTAGTTAAAGCAGCTAACATATGAAACTATACACTGACCTGTCATAACATTATGACCACCTCCTTGTTTCTACACTCATTGTCCACTTTATCAGCTCCACTTACTATATAGGTGCACTTTGTAGTTCTACAGTTACAGACTGTAGTCCATCTGTTTCTCTGATACTTTGTTAGCCCCCTTTTACCCTGTTCTTCAGCGGTCAGGACCCCCATGGACCCTCACAGAGCAGGTACTATTTGGGTGGTGGGTCATTCTCAGCACTGCAGTAACACTGACGTGGTGGTGGTGTGTTAGTGTGTGTTGCGCTGGTGCGAGTGGATCAGACACAGCAGTGCTGCTGGAGTTTTTAAACACCTCAGTGTCACTGCTGGACTGAGAATAGTCCACCGACCAAAAATATCCAGCCGACAGCGTCCTGTGGGCAGCGTCCTGTGACCACTGATGACCAGCGCAACACACACTAACACACCACCACCACGTCAGTGTTACTGCAGTGCTGAGAATGACCCACCACCCAAATAGTACCTGCTCTGTGAGGGTCCATGGGGGTCCTGACCGCTGAAGAACAGGGTAAAAGGGGGCTAACAAAGTATCAGAGAAACAGATGGACTACAGTCTGTAACTGCAGAACTACAAAGTGCTCCTATATAGTAAGTGGAGCTGATAAAATGGACAATGAGTGTAGAAACAAGGAGGTGGTCAGAATGTTATGCCTGATCAGTGTATAATAATCCACAGTGTAAAGTAGCTCAATCTGTCGTAATGACCAGGCTTTCCAGTCTAAAATCACTTCTCTACCTCTCAGTCACTGAAGAATATAGAGTCCAGTCTCACCTTGTTAAACAGCTTTACTGGAGCTGCCACTGAACTGGTTTCCCTGAGGTAGTCGAACCATCGGAACGGGAGTTTTATGTAGCCTGGACAAGAAAACAGACCTTACTTCAGCTGGACAAACGCTTAGAACTAGACGCACCGACCTGATATACTAGGTCTAGGTTGAGACTGGAGACTCAGGCGCGAGTGCGGGTTGAGTCTCGAGTCTCTGAGGAGTGGGTCAGAGCTGAGTTTCGAGTCTTCAAGATGCAGGTCAGAGTCGAGTCAGAAGTTGCCGGTCTCTAGGGTGCAAGCGCGGGTCAAGTCTTGAGTTTCGGAGGTGTGAATCTGAGTCGAGTTTCAAGTCCCTGAAGTGTGAGTCTGAGTTGAATCAGGAGTCTCTGAGGTGCGAATCTGAGTCTCAAGTCTCTGAGGTGCGAGTTTGAGTTGACTCTCTGAGTGGCCAGTTGGGTCTCCAAGATGCAAGTTAGAGTCAAGTCAGAAGCTGCGGGTCTCTAGGGTGCAAGTGCAGGTCGAGTTTTGGGTCTGTGAAGCGTAAGTCTGAGTCAAGACTGAAGTCTCTGAGGTCTGGGTCGAGTCTCGAGTCTCTGAGGTGCAAGTCTGAGTTGAGTCTCTGAGGTGTGAATCTCAGTCGACACGAGAATCAGACAATATGCGACGAGTCCTTGAGTCACTTACTGAAGTCTGCATCTCTCCCTTCTACTGTATATAAGCCTGTGCTGTATAATTAGGTCTGAGTTCATTACTAATACGAGCGCCAACAGATCTGATCAGATCAGTACTTGGTATCGGCCAATACTTTGAGTATTGATTATATCAGTTGTGTGTGTCTGAAGGGATCTGTACCGCGAGGTGGAGTGAGCTCAATGCTGTTGATTTCACAGAAACCAGCCGGGAAGATGGAGGGAGAGGTGCCATGGTAACAGAACCAGTCTGAACCATCCGCTGCCTCCGAGCCGTCAATTCCGATCATGAGGTATCCGTCCGCCAGAACCTGAGAGAGAACCAACAGTGGTCAGTGGACGACAGGAGACGTAGAGGTTGGAGGATAAATATGAGTAAAGTGTGATCTGGAGGATGAATACGTATCACGTATGAGTTGGGGGAGGAATATGTAAGATCTACAAGTTCGCAGAAATGTATGTAGAACATAAAAGTTGGAGGATGTACGAGTTGAAGGATAATACATATAACTTACAAGCTGGAGGATGAATATGCATAATGTATGACTTGGAGGATGAACATGTTTAACGTCAGAGTCGGAGAATGAGTACGTATAATGTACGAATTGCTGGATGAATATGTATAACATATGAGTTGGAGAATGAATATGTATAATGTACGAGTTGGAGGATGAATATGTATAATGTACGAGTTGGAGGATGAATATGTATAATGTACGAGTTGGAGGATGAAAACATATAACTGAAAGTTACAGAGTGCTTCACACTGACATATTAAAATAAAACATAAGGGGAAAAGCACCACACAAGCAGTGCGCTGGTCCGAGTCCTTACCTTCCTGACTGTGGCGACACAAATGGCGGACAGATTGAGGGGGTCGATGGCCTCAAGCTTCATCCCATCCTTAAACCACTCACTGCTCTGATCTACATCCTTCACCTACAAACAGTTCACATCTGTTACAGCACATACCTGGACATCACCCCACACACACTGGACATCACCCCACACACTGGACATTACCCCACACACTGGACATCACCCCATATACCTGAACATTACCCCACACCCCTGGACATTACCCCACACACCTGGACATTACACCACACACCTGGACATTACCCCACACACCTGGACACTACACCACACACTGGACATTACACCACACACACCTGTATATTACACCACACACACCTGTATATTACACTACACACCTGGACATCACCCCACACACCTGGACACTACACCACACACTGGACATTACACCACACACACCTGTATATTACACCACACACACCTGTATATTACACCACACACACCTGTACATTACACTACACACACCTGTATTTTACACCACACACACCTGTATATTACACCACACACACCTGTACATTACACTACACACACCTGTACATTACACCACACATACCTGTATATTACACCACACACCTGGACATTACCCCACACACTGGACATTACCCCACACCCCTGGACATTATGCCACACCCCTGGACATTACACCACACCCCTGTGCATTACACCACACACTGGACATTACCCACACCCCTGGACATTACACTACACACTGGACATTACCCACACCCCTGGACATTACACCACACACTGGACATTACCCCACACCCCTGGACATTACCCACACCCCTGGACATTACACCACACACTGGACATTACACCACACACTGGACAGTCTCTGGCCACATTAATGAATAACACTTTACCTGAAGGTTCCTACATAAACACTTTATAAAAATACTCAATGTCATAACTTGTTTATAACACTGATAAAGACATTCATTTATGCTTCTGTCATCAATCAGAGACACCCTGTCTGTTGTCTATGTTACACTTCAGAAATGTTTTTGCTTTAATTGAAAGCTGCCTAAATGGGGATTTCATAACACGTGTGCAAGCACTGAATAACTCATTTAAAAAGCAATCTTCAAGTACTCAAAGTACTCAGAACTCGGCACAACTCAACACAGGATGTTTGTGAAGTAAACAGACAACAGACATTTGCTCCTTTTCTAACACAGTCTCATATATATATATATATATATATATATACATATATATATATATATGTATGTATGTATATGTGTGTGTGTGTGTGTGTGTGTATATACACACACACACACACCAATCAGGCATAACATTCTGACCACCTCCTTGTTTTTACGCTCATTGTCCATTTTATCAGCTCCACTTGTTAGCCCCCTTTTACCCTGTTCTTCAGTGGTCAGGACCCCCATGGACCCTCACAGAGTAGGTACTATATGGGTGGTGGTCTCTGACTTTACATCTACAAGGTGGACTGACAAGGTAGGAGTGTCTAATAGAGTGGACAGTGAGTGGACACTGAGGTGTTTAAAAACTCCAGCAGCACTGCTGTGTCTGATCCACTCAGACCAGCACAACACACACTAACACACCACCACCACGTCAGTGTTACTGCAGTGCTGAGAATGACCCACCACCCAAATAGTACCTGCTCTGTGAGGGTCCATGGGGGTCCTGACCACTGAAGAACAGGGTAAAAGGGGGCTAACAAAGTATCAGAGAAACAGATGGACTACAGTCTGTAACTGTAGAACTACAAAGTGCACCTATATAGTAAGTGGAGCTGATAAAATGGACAATGAGTGTAGAAACAACGAGGTGGTCAGAATGTTATGCCTGATCAGTGTATATATACATATACATATACATATATACGTATATATGGTTTAAGGGTGTGTGTGTGTGTGTGTGTGTGTGTGTATGTGTACCTTAGCAAACAGCTGTCCCGGTGCGTCCACCTGACCATCCAGCTTCTTCGCCACATCTATAACATGATTATGGTAGCATTCATATAACATCTAACAGCAGTTATAGATTATTAATTAACACCTGACATTTCTCCATCCTCTAACGCTCTTTCTTCCTTTAACAGGACTGTTTTTCTGTTCTAGTGTTTTATTAATATCAGGATCTCCCAGTTATTTTCCACATAATCAGGAAATTCATTTACTAATAATTGTAAGATAATTCTTTGAACGTTTTGCATCTACCACATGATTAGGGTACGGATATAGCAGAAAGTCATCACCCACAATTCTTTCAGCCCAAAAATAGCCAAAAATGGCACTTTCCGTTTCTGGCTGAAAATCTTGACCGAAAATCTAAGACTTCACAAATAATTTTATAGGTTAACTTTTCTCCCACCATTGTACCCATACAGTATTACGACACCCGTCAGTGATCAGTATCAGCATAAGCTTCAGGACAGAATCAGCAAAATACAGCATTACAGCTGCATCTCATCTCGTCTAGTTTACCAGCCAAGACATGTTCTGTGTCTGAGATCTGTTCTTTAGTTTTAGCACTGGAGCTACGAGGCTAAAGTAGCTAACAAGTAATGGAAGCTTATACCCCCATAGATCTTCATTCCTGGATGCTGCGTTGTCTGTTGTTCTCTATCTGAGGTGATACGTCTGCGCGGCCGCCATGTTGGAGAGGTCAAGATCCGCTTGTGAACAGATTCACTTGTATTGAGAGACGAAGCGTCTCAGGATTAAATCAGCCACAACTTCATTATTACTCAACCGATTTTCACCAAATCTGTTTAGTTATAATCCTCAGACACAGATTAATCTATTCTTGTTTGAGTGTTCCCGTTCCACCTTAAATGGTGCAGCACTCTCTGGTGCCTGAAGCTGCACCATTTAAGGTGGAACGGAAAACTGGCTGATGTACCATTTAAGGTGGAACGGAAAGCTGGCTGATGCACCATTTAAGGTGGACACCCGAACAAGAAGCTGGCAAATAAGAAGCTGACTTCAGCTTTGTGTAAGAAGGCGCTAACATTAATCTATTCTGAATATCTACACGGATTAAGGAATGCTGTAATTTACCACTACAAAGCTTTAACCATCACTGTAAATAAATAACTACTACATAAAGTTAAGATCTTAATGAAATGAGCTTAATATAAAACCAGAGGAAAACAATCACATCAACAGGTTCTCTGTGCCTCATTAACCACACGGCCATAAAAATAAACATCACACAGACAATACACATCACCAATTAGCGTGGTGCTAACTGCATGCCTAAATCATCACACAGTTGCCTCAAACTGTCATCAATAAAAATAAACAAAAAGTACATTTAGCACAGCTAAAAACGGTTCAGCTCGTGTTTATAGAAAGCAGTTTGAGGCAGCTGTGTAATGATTTAGGTATGCAGTTAGCACCATGCTAACTGGTGGGGTATAAGCTTCTATTATTTGTTAGCTATATTAGCCTCAAGCCAACTTCAGACCCCAAACATGCCTTGGCTGATCGACCACCTTTGAAAGCAGGGGACTGTGCTTTTGCTGAGCTATCGCTGTGACGTTCCTGTCCCTGCGGTCCAGCGTGCAGACTGACCGGAGCGTTTGAAGCGGTGTCCGATGCTGCGGGACCAGCCGATGCTGTGGATGAGGGGGCTGTACATGTGGCACCAGAAATCGTCCGATCCGTCCTGACTCTCCTCGTAGACAAGTCGGAGACGTCCCCCGATCACCTGCTGCACCAGGGCCACCCGCGTCCGACACAGGTGAGCCTTATCCACCACCTCCACCCGCATCAGCTTCTTAAAGGGGAACTGCATGCTCTCCTGCACCTGCACAGGGGCGAGAGAGAGAGAGAGACAGAGAGAGAGACAGAGAGAGAGAGACAACAGATTCAACACAATTTAACCTTAAAATCAGACAACATAATCAGTGGTTTCTGATCCTGGAGCTGTATTACAGAAACTTCCTCTCTCAGATCTGACAGGACAAGATAAGATGTTTCACAAATTCGTATTACAGAAGCAAATCTGATCTTAATTTAGGAATTTTATCTGATCTTACAGCATCTTATCTCCAGTTAGGAAATCTTAACCTATTCTATCAAAGTCGACAATCAGCTGTCATGTCTGTTGCCTAGCAACCAACCACACACACACGCGCACAGCTAAAACGTAAACACGTCATCAGAATAATGTTAAAACGTGAGTTTAGCTGCTGTTACTGATGTAAAAAAGGTCAAACCAAACTAAAGTGTGATAAACTGTAAGGTGTGAATACTGTGAGAGCGCCCCCTGCTGTTTATCAGAGCGTCGCCGCTCCCCAGTTTCAGTCTCCATTCCCCAAACGCTTTAGCCGAGCGCGCTAACGTTACTCCTCCTAATAAACAGACACACATTCAGCTCCGTCTCCTCATTATTCACCACCATCACTGTAATATTTCATCATCAACATTAACACACGAAGGTGATCAGAGGGGCGGTGGAGATCGAGTCTGCAGCGTCTGAGATCTTTAAAACGCAGAGTTAGAAAAGAAAATCATCTCACAGTGAAAGCAGCGTTTTACAGTAGAAATAAATGGAGCTCATTATGCTGGTAGTGAACTATGCTGCTGACTCAGCTGCCTAAAAACCATAGAAACGGACCTTAAACAGAAGTGAGGACCCTGTTGGGGTTCATCCTAAAGTTAGGACAGGATTTAGGAGGTTTAGTCTAGTTAGGATGTTTGTGTGATGCTGTTTTCTTATCTGGAGTTCATGATGAGATTATGAAGGTAGGAACTGTTATTCTGGAATAGCTACTGTCTGAAATTCAGTCCGTACTGACGTCGTCATGGAGACCAAACACATCAGATTTCAGAGTTAAGATGTTTCTGTAATACGGGTCCTGATGTCCTGCACTCGTCTGTGTTTGCCCTACTCTCATCCACCTGACCCAACATGACGGGATGGACGATTAGTCGCAGTCGCATGTAATATAGCAGGTTTAGCTTAAACACCAATGAAAATTAAAATGAAAACTAAAGCCTTGAGATCCGACTCAGACTCCCCACAGACTCAAGAGTCAACTCGGACTCACACCTCAGAGACTCGACCCGGACTCACCCCTCAGAGACTCGACTCGGACTCACCCCTCAGAAATTCACGACTTGACTCTGACTTGCACCTCAGAGGCTCAAGTCTCAACTCGGACTTGCACCTCAGAGACTCAGACTCAAACTCTCACCTTAGACTCGACTCAGACTCACACCTCAGAGACTCAACTTGGACTCCCCCTCAGAGACTCATGACTCGACTCTAACTTGCACCTCAGAAGCTCAAGACTCAACTCAAACTCTCATCTCAGAGATTCATGACTCGACTTGGACTGACACCTCAGAGACTCAGGAGTCAACTCAGACTCGCACATCAGAGAGTCAAGAGTGACTCAGACCTCAGAGACTCAACACTCAACTCGGAATCACACCTCAGTGACTCGAGTATCAACTCAGACTCCCACCTCAGAGACTCGGATTCAGACTCTCACCTCAGAGACATGAGACCTGACTGAGACTCACAACTCAGAGACTCGGACTCAGACTTGCACCTCAGAAACTGACTTTAACTGTAAACATTTTTGAAAATTAAAAAAATCTGCTTGCATCCACGTGTTTGGCCTGTAGTGTGTCTAATGGAAATAAATGGGGTCACTCAGAGGGTCACCTTGCTGGAGAAGTCGGGCGGCAGTGTTTTGGCTCCGGTGAGACGTTTAACCAGGAACGCCTTCCAGTTCGTCACTTTGTGCTGGATTGCTGGATGGAGGAAGAACAAACATAAACACATTCATTCATTCATTTTCTGAGCTGATCCTGAGGCCTCGTTTCCTGTTAGATACTGCAGCAACAACCGAACATTCAGGGAGTTTGACTGAAATTTGGTTTCAACTAATAAATGCGTTTATTAGTTAATTACATTTGGGTGGAACGAGAGGTTTTCCTCCTGAAGCACACCAGCCCACAGGGTGGATATCAGGAACACACAGGTTACTCCAGAAATCCTGCCCGGAGTCACTGTCGAATCCCTCATAGCGGAGCAGAGCCTTGAACCCTGCAGAGAGGAAGACTGCGTCAGAAACAGCCTGCAGGAAATATTAATCATCATAATAATACATTCTTTATTTGTTATCATGCCCTAAAGCTCAGTCAGAGTGCTTCACCTGCCAGCTTGATGATACTGGCAATCCAGTAGACCTTCATGGGTATACTACTGTCTGAATTCAGCACCTCCACCCTGATGCCCTCCGTAATGTCGTCCCAGGAGGTTCCCATAGGAACCTGAGGGAGAAAATCCACAACACACTTACAGGAACATCTGAAAAGGTACACGTCTTACCTGGCGGTTACCTGGAAATGGTTCAAAAATGGGTCCTCACTCTCACAACTGCAGAACACATTAGTTCTATAGTGGTTACTGAATAATTCATAGTAGATACTGAATAATTCATAGTAGATACTGAATAATTCATAGAAGTTACTGAATAATTCATAGTAGCTATTGAATAATTCATAGAAGTTACTGAATAATTCATAGTAGATACTGAATAATTCATAGCAGATACTGAATAATTCATAGAAGTTACTGAATAATTCATAGGGGTTACTGAATAATTCATAGCAGATACTGAATAATTCACAGAAGTTACTGAATAATTCATAGAGGTTACTGAATAATTCATAGTAGATACTGGATAATTCATAGTAGATACTGAATAATTCATAGAAGTTACTGAATAATTCATAGTAGATATTGAATAATTCATAGAAGTTACTGAATAATTCATAGTAGATACTGAATAATTCATAGTAGATACTGAATAATTCATAGCGGTTACTGAATAATTCATAGCAGATACTGAATAATTCATAGAAGTTACTGAATAATTCATAGTAGATACTGAATAATTCATAGAAGTTACTGAATAATTCATAGAAGTTACTGAATAATTCATAGCAGATACTGAATAATTCACAGAAGTTACTGAATAATTCATAGAGGTTACTGAATAATTCATAGTAGATACTGGATAATTCATAGTAGATACTGAATAATTCATAGAAGTTACTGAATAATTCATAGTAGATATTGAATAATTCATAGAAGTTACTGAATAATTCATAGTAGATACTGAATAATTCATAGTAGATACTGAATAATTCATAGCGGTTACTGAATAATTCATAGCAGATACTGAATAATTCATAGAAGTTACTGAATAATTCATAGTGGTTACTGAATAATTCATAGAGGTTACTGAAAAAATCATAGTGGTTACTGAATAATTCAGAGTAGATACTGAATAATTCATAGAAGTTACTGAATAATTCATAGTAGATACTGAATAATTCATAGAAGTTACTGAATAATTCATAGAAGTTACTGAATAATTCATAGCAGATACTGAATAATTCATAGAAATTACTGAATAATTCATAGAGGTTACTGAATAATTCATAGCAGATACTGAATAATTCATAGAAGTTACTGAATAATTCATAGCAGATACTGAATAATTCATAGAAGTTACTGAATAATTCATAGCAGATACTGAATAATTCATAGAAGTTACTGAATAATTCAAAGAAGTTACTGAATAATTCATAGAGGTTACTGAATAATTCATAGCAGATACTGAATAATTCATAGAAGTTACTGAATAATTCAAAGAAGTTACTGAATAATTCATAGAGGTTACTGAATAATTCATAGAAGTTACTGAATAATTCATAGTGGTTACTGAATAATTCATAGAAGTTACTGAATAATTCATAGTAGAAACTAAATAGTTCATAACATATGATAAATAATCCATAGTATATAATGAATAATTCATAGTAGATACTGAATAATTCATAGTACATACTGAATAATTCAGTGCGTTATGAATAAGCAGAATATGTATAAATAGAAGATACTGAATAATAAGCCTAGAGTTTAGCAGTTTACCTTTACAGCAGTTGTCAGCTTCCAAATCCAATAACTTCAATTTGATATATGTAGATAAATAAATAAAGAAATAAAAACAAATCCTTATTTTTACGCCTTTATGTGTGTCATGTCTATGTTCTTCCAATATCCAGTTATATAATAATATTATACACAAATACCAATTCAGCAGAGAGTTTACATAGAATACATGAATTATAATACTATTTGAATATTAACATTATTAAAACATAAACAGAAATAAAAGTCCTTCCTCTACTGATTTCTAACTAACTCTGCTCTTTGGGCCTCAGTGTGTGACTCTTCCATCTCACTGATCTTCAACACCGTTTTACCCGTTTCTCTCTGGAGCCGTTTGCGACGCTGATTTGTCCAAAGTCGACGTTCAAAAAAGGGACTTTATTATTTCCTCTGATGTCCTAATGTTAGACGGGTTATGTGTATGATTTACCTGGCTGGATTACAGGTGAACTTACGTGTTTGAAGCAGCTCACCGGCGCCCCCACCATGTCTCCACTGCCAATGTAGTTTCCCCAGTCAAAACTGTCCAGGGGCACAGCTAGGAGGAGACCAAATACAATTTTATTAACTAATAGCTCTGTTTATTACTGCAACATTACTGTGTTACAGTTTTACCTCTATATAAACACTATGACTGTAGAAATATTATTAGTACAACTAAAGAAATTGTGTTCTAACTAAAACATTATTAGTACAAATTGTAAAAATATTAGTGTTATAACTGTAAAAATATACAGAGTACAACTGTACAAATATAAGGAGTATTAAAGTAAAAAAAGTAAAAGTATGAAAGTGAGAAAGGAGTGTATATATATATATATATATATATATATATATATATATATATAAGGAGTGTAACTGTAAACACAAATCTGGTATAACTGTACAAATATAAGGGGTATACCTGTAAAAATATAAGCAGTATATGTGTAAAAATATAAGTGGTATAACTATAAGTATATAAGTGTTATAACTGTAATAATAAAAATGGTATAACTGTAAAGACATTAGTGGTGTAACTGAGGAAAGTTTCCGTTCTGGATTCACAGGATTGAACATGAATTCAGACTCACCTGCTTTAACCTTCACCTGGCTCTGCTGATTGTTCTGGTTCTGACTGTACGCAGCTAGCTTAGCCATTAGCGGCTGCTTCTGCAGCACTTTAGCCTTTTTGGTCGGAGGCTTACCCTGAAAACACCACACAGAAAGGCTGAGAATTCACTCTGGGAATCTTTAACACCCTTAAATCAGAAGCCAGGTGTGGAATGACATACAGACCCTCCAACACCTTCCCAGAAGAGTAGAGCTGTTACTGCAGTAAAGGAGGACAAACTCTCTATTAACACTCTATTTTAACCAACCTGAAAACCACAGCTGGCATTTTTTGCTTCTCCTGAAGTTACCATTTCATAGATATATCACTGGCTATGTAAACAATTTTTATTTTGCATTCAACAACGTTTACAATGTGTATTTAAATATCACAAACTATTCACCAAAAGGTATTATTAGGTGTTTTATTCAATATTTATGTAAGTTGCTGAACAAGAACTTCATAAATCACCATCAGGTATTAGATAAATGCTAATAAACTGTAACTAAAAAAGTGCACTTCCTGAAAAATATACACTGATTACACAGGTTACGCAACTCTCCAGTATCGCCAGGATTTTGTTGACTGGTTGCTATGGTTTCCCTGGTGGCTGCTGGAGTGTTGCTGAATGATTCATATGTCAAATGTTATTTTAAGATGTTTTTTATTTAAATAATTTAGCTAACAAAAACGTATTAAATGATAATTTACTGTAATAACCTATGTACTTTATTTTTATCAAGCTGTCTGCCTTGAGATTTGATCTCCACTTTTCAGATATGATGAATCCTAAATATTAATATTATTACAGTGTGTTAAAGATGTTTAAATGGTAAATCTACACTGTGAAACGTGTGTACGTGTGTTGTACCTGCAGTCGGGCCATGATGCTGGCTTTTTTGGAGTTGGATGAGTAGCTCCGTGAGCAGGACACGCTGCAGAAGCGCTTCGTTTTGGAGTAAAACGCATCTCGGACACCCACCATGCCGCACATCTCACACGTCGCTGAAACAGGAACAGTGAGATTTTAATAAAGGTCTCCCGTATTAGGGGAAAAAAGTCATTACCTATGATAACATTATAGAGCACTATAGAGTGCTTTTTAAATGAAACAGTAGAAGCCATATCGCCCCCTACCCTCCCTGTAGTGTATTACAGTCTGTCAGAGTGACTGTGTGGATCATATGAACATTATAGAGCTTTTTAAATGAAACAGTAGAAGCCATATCGCCCCCTACACTTCCTGTAGTGTATTACAGTCTGTCAGAGTGACTGTGTGGATCATATGAACATTATAGAGCTTTTTAAATGAAACAGTAGAAGCCATATCGCCCCTACACTTCCTGTAGTGTATTACAGTCTGTCAGAGTGACTGTGTGGATCATATGAACATTATAGAGCTTTTTAAATGAAACAGTAGAAGCCATATCGCCCCCTACACTTCCTGTAGTGTATTACAGTCTGTCAGAGTGACTGTGTGGATCATATGAACATTATAGAGCTTTTTAAATGAAACAGTAGAAGCCATATCGCCCCCTACACTTCCTGTAGTGTATTACAGTCTGTCAGAGTGACTGTGTGGATCATATGAACGTTATAGAGCTTTTTAAATGAAACAGTAGAAGCCATATCGCCCCCTACACTTCCTGTAGTGTATTACAGTCTGTCAGAGTGACTGTGTGGATCATATGAACGTTATAGAGCGCATGTATAAACAATATAAACTCCACCTATGCCTCTACTTTTGTTACCGCTCTGTTAGACTGCATGTCTGTGGAGGAGGGAGGTGCTGACCCATGCCCGCTTTGCCATCGGGGTAGGTGTAGACCTGTCCGTTGGTGTGTATGATGGGCAGGGTGGTGGGCAGTGGTGACGAATCTTCATCGCTGTCGTCTGAAGTGCAGCTGCTGCTGGACTCCTCACTGCAGCTCTCACAGCCCTCAGAGATACCGAACGAATCCCTGTGCTTCCGCTCCGAACGCTCGTCCGCCTGGGACAACACACAGTTCAGAACAGACAACACTGAATGTTAGGCTCACAGCAATTCAGTACATTCGTGTTAGAAATATAGGTTGTGCTTTGGCAAAATATTAAAACTTCATTGAACTTCAAAATATTAAAACATACATAAACTTACTGTTTAGATTTTAATATTAATTATTCACTATTCGCTATAAATTATTTAGTGTCTTCTATTAACTATTCAGTATCTACTATGAATTCCACTCTTGCTTCAGATCTGAAAACATCCACAGGTGTTTCTGTCCATCCTTCCACTGTGAGAAGACGACTCAGCGCTGTGGGTCTGAAAGGATGTGTAGCTGTTCAAGAAGAACCTCACTGAGAAAAGGACAGAAGAACATCTGCTCTAGAACCTCAACACTGGACATCTGAGCAGTGGAGGGAGGTTTTCTGGACTGCTGAGATGTCCGGCAGTAACAGGAGGCAGTGTGTTCACCGCTGAATCACTGAAAGACTCTGAACCGTCAGTGGAGCGAGACGGAGGATCAGAGCAGGTTTGGAGATGCAGGACAACATCTGGAGCTGGTGGTGAGTCTCTGATTGAAGGCGTTAGGAATGCCGATGAGTACAAACGAATATTAATACATCATGCAGCTCCTGAAAACGTCTGACTGAAGAACTTCATTCTACAGAGAGATAACGACCCCGAGCTCACTGCTGAGATCAGGACGAAGAAGCTGAACAATGGACTGACCACCCCAGAGTCCAGACCTCAACACCACTGAATGTGTTTGATTACTTCAGAAAATGATCAACCAGCTACTAAGACTGAACTTTGGAGGTGTGTCTGCAGATTCTTTGAGGAACTGAAAGTGAGTCTCCTGAAAAGAATGGAAGCTGGAATAAAGGGAAAGAGTGACTCACTGACTCACTCAGCTGAGAGCAGATTTAGCTGTTGACATTTTTTTTTGTTTAATATGTACGTTTTTTTTTGTGCTGAAAAATACAGAAATACAGAATAGAAAATAGACCCCATACACTAGAATATACAGTACAGAGTGAGGGTTCTCAACGTTTCTGCTTCAAGGCCCACCTGTTTTCTACTAGAAAGCATGACTAGAGGGCCCACAGGAAAACACAACTCAACCTTTTTGCTTAAAAATATTGAGCCTCATTCTCCAGTATCTTCCTACGTGTGTTCCTAAATTTGTTCTTGAGAAAGATCCTAAGAAAAATTCTCTGTCAGATTCATGACGTGTTCTTAAAGCGCAGAACTGTTCTCACCTTTGTGCTCTTGAGTGTGTGTAGATTCTGTTCTTACCTAAGAACAAACCCTACATAAGAGAACAGTGGTGAATCAGAGTCTTTGTAAAAACTATGTAAGTAGGTTTTAATAACAAATTTCATCTTAACAACGGTTGGTGAATGAGGCCCAGTGTTTTTGGGAAATTCGGAAATTCAGATGCCAACCCCTTAAAACACGATGCATATCAGTGAATATAATAGATCGACAGATTAGGCTGATGTTTATTTATTCCATAAATCATAAATTAAGGATGTCATGGGGAGTGTGTTTGATTTCTACAGGCAAGGAGCGAAAATCTGATAGAGCTGCCTTGGTGTGTCTGTTTTGCCGGACTCCCCTTTGAAAGTATTTAGTATTTCTATGGATCACTGGCCCTCAGGCTGAGGGATTCTGGCAAAATATCTAATAAATTAGGAAGGCTGGCTCTGCACAAACTTATTAGGAAGGCTGGCTCTGCTGTTGGAGTCAAGCTGGACTCTCTGGAGGTTGTGGCAGAACAGAGGACGCTCAACAGGCTGTTATCTTGGACAACACCTCACACCCCCTGCATGCTACACTGGATAAACAGAGCAGCTCATTCAGTGCAGACTGTGTTATACGGCTCTACAGCGAGTCTCCTTACTGCAGAGGCGGTACTGATCTCCTGCTGTCTGAACTGAGCTGAACCACATCGCTGTATCACCTCTGCTGTTAATACTCACTGTGCAATATATCATAACCACTACTGTAATGACTCTCACTGCGCACTTTACACTGTAATACTGCTGCAACTCCTAGTTAATTATGTCTATAATCATTGTGCTTTTAGACCTCATACCACTCGGTGCCTGCTCGCATGTAAATACAACGAATTTGTCTTATATGCCATGTAAATACGCAAATAGGTATAATTTTATTTCTACTCTCTTGTACTTTAACTTTTGTCTATATTTATTTCTATTTTTAATTTTCTGCATAGTATATGTAAGTTTATGTGCAATTATAATTTTTAATAAACAAAATTTTTTTCACTAATATTGTGATTACGAATTGCAATTGATTGTAATTGAGGTACAAATTAAGGTATGGACCTTTCTGTGGCTAAGAAGACCAGCATATCGCTGCTGTCGGAAAACAAAACCTCGTATCTCTATTTTTGTCGTTTTTCAGTTTCTTACATAATTTGAAAATACCGGTTTCCTTGTATATTGTGTCAGAATTTCATGATGAAGGGACCAAAAGAAACGGCCCAAAATTACTTGAAAAAAACTCTGGTTCCACTGACTCACATTAAAAGTAGACTACGTTTTTCCTTCTCCTGTAAAGTTCTCATTTTGGAGACACGAAGTTTTGGTCTGACAACAGCGATGTAATTTTTCTGGCTTGAGACTTGAACTATCAACACAGCGCGCCAGCCTGCCAGTGATTTGTGGTTGTGATGTCACAAATTCCATGTTATTAGGTAAAATTTCTACTTAAAACTTGCATCGTATCAACATTGTTGATAACAGACTGTAAGACTTTAATAAAAATTGCAGCTCTTGCGATTTGAAAACTGCACTCTTTCAAATTGCAATTTCCATATAAAAACGATTAATCTTTCAGCCCTAACTGGCCCCCCTCAGCACTGGCCCGAGGACCACCAATAGGTGCTTTGCGGCCCACATGTGCTCCACGGCCCAGTGGCTGAGAAACCCTGGTATGGAGTATAGTGGGGTATATGCAGGAAATCAAGGGTGCACAGCTCCAGCGTCCAGCACAGTTTGGTAGCTGCCCCTCTTAAACACACTAAGTTAACATGGCAATAACAGGTGAGTGTTATCAGGTGTGTCTGAGCAGGTAAATCACCATCAGCCCTCCCGGACTGGAGCACCCATGCAGTAAACAGTCCCTTCCTGTATAATGTAGTACCCTGGAAAAAACCCAGGAGTACACAGGAGTACAAACCTCTGCTGAAAAAAATCATAGAAATGTTGGTTCCTGTTGGCGTCCAATGATCACTGATGGTGTTCTGTGTTTTCCTGATAGGCTGATATCACAGTGTAAAGGGTTCTATTGGGTCAACAGGTGTTCTGGGACTGATTCCAGATTCATCTGATGGTTTCCTAATAGGATGTCCTTCAGGAAACCTAGTCTCTAATGGTAACCGCTAAGCCCATTCCCACTAGAAAGCAAAACCAGGTGTTAATCAGCAGACACAGGTACACAAATCAGCCATAACATTATGACCACCTCCTTGTTTCTACACTCACTGTCCACTTTATCAGCTCCACTGACCACATAGTTTCACTCTGTAGTTCTACAGTTATAGACTGTAGTCCATCTGTTTCTCTGCATACTCTGTTACCCTGTTCTTCAGTGGTCAGGACCCCCATGGACCCTCACAGAGCAGGTAGTATTTGGGTGGTGGATCATTCTCAGCACTGCAGTAACACTGATGTGGTGGTGGTGTGTTAGTGTGTGTTGTGCTGGTCTGAGTGGATCAGACACAGCAGTGCTGCTGGAGTTTTAAACACCTCAGTGTCACTGCTGGACTGAGAACCAAAAACGTCCAGCCAACAGCGTCCTGTGGGCAGCGTCCTGTGACCACTGATGAAGGACTAGAGGATGACCAACACAAACTGTACAGCAGCAGATGAGCTATCGTCTCTGACTTTACATCTACAAGGTGGACTGACAAGGTAGTGGACAGTAAGTGGACCACACCAGCACAACACACACTAACACACCACCACCATGTCAGTGTTACTGCAGTGCTGAGAATGATCCACCACCCAAATAGTACCTGCTCTGTGAGGGTCCATGGGGTCCTGACCACTGAAGAACAGGGTAACAGAGTATGCAGAGAAACAGATGGACTACAGTCTGTAACTGTAGGACTACACAGTAAACCTAAATGGTCAGTGGAGCTGATAAAGTGGACAGTGAGTGTAGAAACAAGGATTAAATGGTGTATAAATGGATGAGTGCAGCAGTGACTGCAGCTCTGTTTTGTCCTCACTCTGATCCTCATCCTCTACAAGCCCAGTGAGGAGCGCAGCAGGCAGCAGGTGAGAGAGCTCAGGTGTGCTGCAGTGCGGCTCCGCTCCGCACTCTGCTGTAAGTCCTGTGCTGAGCTCTGCTCCACTCTGATCAGAATAACAGCTGAACAAAAGCCTGCTCTCTCTCTCTCTCTCTCCCTCTCTCTCTCCCTCTCTCACCCTCTCTCTCTCTCTCTCTCTCACTCACTCACTCACCGGCTCCCGCGCGCTTTCCATCAGCCCCTCATGCGTGTCTCTCGCGGACTGACGCTGACCGCTCGCTTCTCACAATAAACGGGAATAAAAATCGGTATAAATAAAAACTCACACTGACCAGCAGCTGCGCAAAAACACCACTCAGCGCGCAGAGCGCAGGCGCAGTCACGGCGCAGCGCTGCGCTCAGCGGCCAATCAGAGCCCGTTCCCTGCGCACACACTGCCCCCTGCTGGACCGGAGCGCAAAAAACACTGCACACTTTTAAAAGCGCTTTTAGTCTAAAAAACCCGACCTTTTGAACTCTGAATTCTGTTTGAACAGTGCGTGTTGTGAGGTTTACTCCTGTAGTTTTTACCAAGCGGGAGTTCTTTAACTTCATATCTGCACTGATATCAGTAACCCTCACGCTGAGAAGCGGAGGAGGCGACGCGGCGGGCGGGTCTAACAGCCCAGCTCATTCAGATATGCGGCTCAGGCAGCCGCTGCAGCGCTGGGACAGATGGAGGGCGGATGAAGGTACAAGTCCTTTGGTTTATTGAAAACACTGAAGAAAATGAATCTACAAAAGTGACTCAAACACATAAAGAACACTAATGACAAAAAACTTCAATAGAACAAAAACAAAGGCGAAGGCTGTAAAGTAAACCGGACTAACGAGGAACTAGAACAGCGCATTTCCTGAGGAAAATGCGGAGTGATTGTGCAGCTTAGGTGATTGGAGAACGGTTACTAAGGTGTTGCCAGGCGGCTGCTATGGTGTTGACTGCAGGTGGTTGCTGTAGTTTCCCAGGTGGTTGCTAGGGTATTGCTAGGAGGTTGCTATGATATCCAAGGTGGTTGCTATGACATCCCAGGCGGTTGCCAAGGTGGTTGCTATGGTATCCCAGGTGGTCACTATGGTGTTGCTAGACAGTTTATAGATATCCCAGGTGGTTGCTAGGCAGTTGCTATTTTATCTAAGGTGCTGCTAGGTGGTAGCTATGGTATCAGAGGTGGTTGCTAGGGTGTTGCTAGATGGTATGCCAGGAGGTTGCTAGGCAATTGTTATGGACTCCCAGGCAGTTGCTAAGGTGTTGCTAGGCAGTTACTGTAGTATCTCAGATGGCTGCTAAGGTGTTGCTAGACAGTTGCTATGGTATCCGAGGTGGTTGCAAGGGTGTTGCCAGATGGTTGCTATGGTATCCTAGGAGGCTGCTATGCAATTGTTATGGACTCCCAGGCGGTTGCTTAGGTGTTGCTAGGCGGTTACTATGGTATCTCAGATGGCTGCTAAGGTGTTGCTAGGCAGTTGCTATGGTATCCTATGTGGTTGTTAGATTGTTGCTAGTCAGTTGCCATGGTGTATGGGGTGTTTATTTAGTTTATTTAGAAAAGATTCTCTTATACTCTTTGTACAATGTATGGGTGTGGCCTAATATTCTAACGAGCAGTGATTGACAGCTCATAGTCCAGCACTTCCAGCCTGCTACAGCACTGAAGAAGAACTAAACACAACAGCGCAAATCAGTGAAATGGACTCAGTAGGTGGTGCTGTAGACCCCAGTGTCCACTCGCTGCAAACATCGTCCAGCTTTTATATCGTTGCTGTCCAATGAAAAACATCTATCTCCATTTTTTGCGATTTTTACTTTTCTGCATCATTTGAGCTCACCAGCTGTCCTTTACATTGTTTGAAAATTTCATGATGATTGGACCAATAGAAATGCTCCAAAATTGCTTAGAATAAAATCTCTTTCCATTAACTTACATTGAAAGTAAAGAAGTTTTTGCCCTCTCCTGTAAAGTTACGATTCTGGAGATACCTGTTTTTCTTTGGACAGCGACGATATGAAGACGCCTTAAAGATGCTTCTTATCAGGATTATTAACAATTTCATTTGTTCTTAATTTTATTCAGTTCTTAATTTTGTTTTTTAATTTCAGTTTTGCTTCAGTTAGTCTTAATGGTGCATTAATAGTTTTAATTTGGTTTTGTTTTCTGAAATATAACTGTGTTACGTCAGTTGATGAGTGGTGTGATAGCAGATAATCAATAAAGGTAGAATAAAGCGAACACAGCAGTGACTGAGCTCAGCTCGGCTCCAGCTTTCCTTAAAGACAAACACAGAAACACACTTCTCAACTCTCATTCACACACTGAAAAAACTCAAACTAAACTTCTTTAACTTCTCTAAACCTTCTTTTCATTTTAGTTACTTTTTCAGTGCACATTATAGTTTTGATTCTGTTTCGTATTTTTGAAAACTGCCCTTCTTTTGTTACTGTTAACAATCATATTTTTCACCGTTGGTTTTCATTTTAGTCATACACTCTTGAAGAAGATGGTTCTTCAAGGGTTCTTTAAAGAAAATGGTTCTATATAGAACCATGAACACTCAGAGAATCCTATGCATGATTAAATGGTTCTCTGCATGCTGAAATGGTTCTTCAGATTGATGGAGAATATGCTGTATATCGTTCTATTTAGCACCAGAAGGGTTCTGCTATTTTGAGAATGGCAAGCTACAACCACACTTATTACTGTATTACTGTACAACCACACTTATTACAGTATCTACAATTACTACTGTACATCTACACTACAACTACACTCATTACTGTACAACTACACTGCACAACTACATGTATTACTACAACCACACATATTACTACAACTACTGTACAACTTACACTGCACAACTACACCTATTACTGTACAACTACACGGTATGACAATTACTGTATAACCACACTGCACACCTACGCTTATTACTGTACAACTACACTGCACTACCACATTTATTACTGTACAACTACACTGCACACCTACATTTACTACTGTACAACTACACTGTACAATGACAATCATTGTACAACTACACTGCACACCTACACTTATTACTGTACAACTACACTGTACAATGACAATCACTGTACAACTACGCTGTACAATGGCAATCACTGTACAACTACACTGCACACCTACACTTATTACTGTACAACTACACTGTACAATGACAATCACTGTACAACTACGCTGTACAATGGCAATCACTGTACAACTACACTGCACACCTACACTTATTACTGTACAACAACAATCATTGTACAACTACACTGCACACCTACACTTATTACTGTACAACTACACTGTACACTGACAATCACTGTACAACTACACTGCATACCTACACTTATTACTGTACAACTATGCTGTACAATGGCAATCACTGTACAACTACACTGCACACCTATACTTGTCACTGTACAACCACGCTGTACAATGGCAATCACTGTACAACTACACTGTACAATGACAATTACTGTACAACTACACTGCACACCTACACTTATTACTGTACAACTACACTGTACAATGACAATCACTGTACAACTACGCTGTACAATGGCAATCACTGTACAACTACACTGCACACCTACACTTATTACTGTACAACTACACTGTACAATGGCAATCACTGTACAACTACACTGCACACCTACACTTATTACTGTACAACTACGCTGTACAATGGCAATCACTGTACAACTACACTGCACACCTGCACTTATTTTTGTGCATCTAGAGTGCACAACTATAATTACTGTATAACCACAGTGCACAACTACACTTATTACTGTACAACTATACTTATTACTGTACTTCTACACTGAACCACACTTATTACTGTACATCTACATTGTATAACTACATTTACTGTACAACCATACTGCACTACTACACCTATTACTGTACATCTACACTTCAACTACACTTGTTACTGTATTACAACTACACTTATTACTGTATTACTGTACATCTACACTGCACAACTATACTTATTTCTGTACATCTACACTACAAGTATACTTATTACCATACAACTACACTGTATGACAATTACTGTATAGCCACACTGCACAACTACACTTATTACTCTACATCTACATTGTACAACTACATTTACTGTACAACCAAATTGCACTACTACACTTCTTACTGTGCAACTACATTTATTACTGTACATCTACGCTTCAACTACACACATTACGGTATTACTGCACAACTGTTTTATTGCTGTACATCTACATTGTACAACTACACTTCAACTTCTCTTGTTACTGTATTGCAACTACACTGCACAACTACACTTATTACTGTACAGTACAATTATTACTGTACATGTACACGGAATAATGTACTATACAACTACAGTATACACTTACGGACAAACAGCAGGATCTCTAAATTTGAAATATAAGTAATATTGGTAACAAGATGTAAAAATATGGGAACTTAGTTTCTAACTGAAAATAAGAACAAATGTTACAGTTCAAGTAAAGTATATTCAGCAAAACTAAAATAAATAAACAAACACAGCATGAGTTTACTTCACTTGGGTTACACAATATGAAGTACAGTGTGAGAAGAAATCAATAATAACCTTCAGACATGTATTGAATGGGCCACTTTAGTAGAGTGATAAAGTCAGACCAAAGAAAGAAACAAACAAAGTCAACAACTGCTGTGCTGTGAGAAATACTCCTATTCAGATGAAGTGTGTACAAAGTCAAGGATCAGCTGATTTGCTAGTATGGATTTTACTTTGACTTGAGCAGACCTAGTGCCGGCCTGCATAGCCTGGATCTTTTGATGGGATTTTCAGACATTTACCATGTATCTAGAGAAACTTACCGAGTCAGAATTGATCACAGTGGTGGTGATAGGAACCAGATGTCCACCTCTAAAAGCTCCTCACAGAAAGTTACTACATGAAATGGTTATAAATTCACTGCCTGATGACTGAGACACTGTTTTATGATAGTTTTGAGAAGATTTTGGCCTTAAACTCCATTCATGGTGGAGGGATACGATATATGCAGGGTGTTGTGAGGCAAAATAGTCCCCAAAGAAAACTTATTATTTCACCTTGCCCCCTTTCAGCCTTTTCTCCAATGGCCAGGACCCACACAGAGCAGGTTTTATTTGGGTGAAGAGTTACCCTCAGACTATTCTCAGTCCAGCAGCGACACTGAGGTGTTTAAAAACTCCAGCAGCACTGCTGTGTCTGATCTACTCAGACCAGCGCAACACACACTAACATGCCATCATCACTGTGCTATCATTTACACTTTATTATGCTGCTTTATGG